ACATTAGTAACTGCGTCCAGGTCCTAAGATACAAAGTTAACTTTGATAGGCTTAGTAATACTATTACTACTCCGCTCCTTAACCTGTTTTGCCTTAACCTTCTAAGTTTCTCGTTTAGTAATAGCGGCGAGGGTACTATTCCTAGTATCCTTAAACTCGATCTTGCTACTATACTTCTTCTCTAGAAGACTCCTAAGTTAAGGCAGCTTCGGAGCTCTACGATCCTACTCGAAGTTAATCTTGTCGCCGGTGTCGGTATAGTAGAACCGACTATTTACTTATATAACGAGCTTCCTCTTAAGAAGCTCCTTCTAGATAGGGTAGTCTAATTAAATATGTTTAAAACCGCCGTATATCTAGCACTTGCTATCTAAGTTAGAATAGATCTTCCGTATAGCGTAGACGTTAACTAAAGGAGCCTTAGGGTAGTTAGGATCGGAGACCTAGTAGACTAGTAGTATATCCTTTAGTATACTAGCATTAAGGACCTCCCTAACTCGCTATAGTGCTTTCGTATTAAGGTTGAGCTAGGCTAGGGATTTAGCTAAGTCCGTAACGTCCTAAGAATGCTTAGTAATAGTAGGAGTTATAGTACTAGGACTACTTTGCGATTTAGGAAGAAACTTAGGCCCTCTAGTTCCCGAGGTATCGTTCCTTACCTAGGCTAGGTTATTCCGGTCCTCGCCGTAAATGAACTTCTTTACGTTAGCGGAGCTGTTAATGTCGTCCTTAATAGCCTCTAGGACCTCTTTATACTTCCTAAAGGTCTCGGGATTGGCTTCGCTAAGCTTATAGCGACGGAAGATACGCTTAGCCGTAGACTACGGCAACCCTTTAAGGAGTAGCCTCGTTCTCTAAGAATTCTCGAGGTCCTACTAGTCGATGCCGTCCGCTAACTTAACAAACTCGCGGACGTACTCCTTTAGGTCGTTATCTTCGGTGCGCCTCTCTGTATAGAGGTTCTTAAGCTACGTACGACTGCCTTTAATGCGACGGCTATCGCGATCCCGATACTCCCTTATAAAGGCCTACTTAAAGACCTCCTAGTCGGCATTAGACTTGTCGTCCTTTTCTAGGTAGCTAACTAGGGTTCTAAGGGTTCGGTAAAGCTTAGTAATAGTAGTCCTCGTAAGGGACCGGACCTTATACTAGTCCGACTCCTCTTCGAGTCCGTACTTAGCTAAGTTGTCCTTAAAGCGTTCTACGTACGCCGTAGCGTTCTACTCTTCGAACAAAGGGTTCCTACTACTTCCTAGCTCTAGCGGGCGACGCCTATTCTAACGGAGAAGGTTAGTTTGCCCTTAAATTATCTTTATAACGATATTATAGAGAGCTTCGGGCGTAGAAGGCTCGATAGCCCCTAGGTCGACGGCGCTTATAATAACTAGTCGTCGCCTGATTTCTTCGTTAATAGGGTCCGGTAGGTTATTAGATTCCGAAGATTCCGCTAATTCGTAATACTCGCTTTCGCTAGAGCTTATTCGATTATTATAAAGTAGTTAAAATGAAATGCTATAGGAAAGTGTTTTTAGTATATATTGTAGGTTTGGTTTGTTTCGATATTGCTATACGAGAAAATGGTATACTAGGCTGTTTTCTTCTAATATTACCCCTAGGGTAGCATTAGAGTTTAGCCTCCTAGGGGTCGCCTAGACACCTCTAGGAGCTTTAATTTAGTAAATTTAGATAAAAGCCGCTCGGAGGAAGGAACTGCAATCTCTATTTATACCTGGATCCTAGAAACTAGCTACTTTACTAACTATCGTTATCTCCTTTAGCTAGGTAGGGGGGCGGGGACCTTCTTTTTCTAGTAGAAGGCTAAATACTGTCCGAACGAGGCAGCGAATCCCGAAATAGTCTACCCGGTTAATAGGGGAACTGTCTAGGCATCCGACCTATAATCTAGAAATTGCTATCGTATAGATAGTCTTAGCAAACTAAGCAAGGCCGATAGGTAATTAGTCTATCTCCTCCTTAGGCGGGGCTTATCTCGAGTAAGCGGTACTAAATAGGTCTTCGACCTAGAGCCGAGTCCTTAGAAGCTAGCTATAGTTATAAACTAGGCCCTAAGCTGTAATAGTCCTAAGAGTTTATAGCTTTTCGGGGTTAAAGCGATGCCCTCGTTAAGAGGTTTCTCTGCTTATCGTAACGGCCCCTTAAGATACTTCGGTATCGTCCGTATCGTAGGCTCTTATCGTACCCTCGCTTCGGTTATAGCTATTCGTGCCTAGAGACTACCTTTAACACACCCGAACCTGTTAGATATAAAGAGATAGCCCTACCTTCGGCTCTAATAAAGGACGGAAACCAACACTACTACTACTACTTATAGCAATAGTATAGGCTACCGAGGGTAACATAACCTATAGCAATATAGGCAGCTATATTTAGCAAAATAGGATAACGAGACTGTCGCTTAGGCTAATAACTAGAGCCCTGCAACATAGGCATTATAGAAGTGTAACATAAACAATATACTATACGAGGTTAATAATCTGTCTACTCTATAGAAGGAGGCCTCTTATATAGGCTTAAAACTAGCCTATAGGTATAGGGCCGGTTACTAGCTAATAATAGGTATAGCCGTACGAAGTCTAGTCGCTTTTAGCATATATTATTACTATAGAAGGGTCTCGCTTTTGTAATATACCGCCTAAAGCTAAATCGTCGACAAATGCGGGAAATCGTTATAGAGTAGCAATCGAGGCCTAAAGTATCTCGAATCTCGCGATAGGATATACGGCGTGTCGTAGCATTCTATATAACAAAGCGGACAATGCGGCGTTGTTGTTCTATAGTGTAGATTGCCCTTCGTCGGTTAGGTAGGTTAATAACGATAAGAGTTCGAACTTAGGCGTTATTCGAGTTATCGTCTTACATTCGATAGCGGCAAACCCTAGGCGTAAAAGGCTCGTTACAGATCTTTCGGACGGTCGAATAGTATCTCTAAGACTAGTTTGCGATACGCTAGTATAGCTATTTAGCTATACAGCGAAGGCTCTTAATATAAGAGCGTAATCTATATAGAACAACTACTCGGCGGTAGATTTAGGATTCGGGGGTTTCTTAGGTTGCAACTTCGTATATAGGTAGCTCGTAGACAGTCCTAAATAGTAGTAAGCGTAGTAATAGAAGTTATAGTTATCTAGTAGGTCGATTAGCGGTCGGTTATAGTAGAAACGAGGTTAGTAAAGTAGATTAAGTAGTATTCGAAGATTAAGAAGACTAAGAATCCGAGAATCGAGGTATCGAGGGTCTAACTAGATTAGGCAAAGCGGCCGACGGCGCGTTCCTAGCGCCTTCGGCAAGCTCCTACCGAGCTAATAGGACTCTCTAAGCTCGAGGTATAACGTAGACTAGCCCTTTATCCTTAGAGTTGCTATCTCCTAGATTAATTACTTCTACCGGCGGTCTAAACTACGCTAATACCTCTCGTTGCTCGTCTATCTAGCGCTAAGACTTATTATACTTAGGCGGACGGTTATATACTAGCGGCGGCGTATTTAGCGTACGCTCTCGCTACTAGAAACGTAGGATACTACCGTAGCGGACTCTACCGGCTCGAACTTGCGATTGCGATTAAGATTAGTGCTTAGTAATAATATCCCTTCGAGGCGGACTTATCGGCGGTAGAGTCGCGAAGGCAGGCGAGCCTACTAGACTTCCTACCCTCGAATTCAAGTTATTTAGTACCCCTAACTACGCTCGCTCTTCCGCGCTTTCCTTTAGCCTTTTAAGTAGCGCCGGACGCCTAAATTTAGCCCTCGGTAGGCGATAAACCTTAGGCAGGTTCGTATATTGTTAGTTTCGAAGAGGGGGGGCTCTACGGTGCCGAAGGGCACCTAAACAAGATCTCTAGCGCCTATACTGCGTATAGTACGCGTTAGAGTAAGTGTAGGGCATTAGAAAAGATTAGTAGGAAGCAGAGGGTTAAGAGGAGGGCTCGGAATACTAAAGACGGGACTTTTATATATATATACTACGTTATATACCCGTACCGCCCTCTCTATATCCTCCGTATTACTATAACACTCCTAGTTTAATCCGTACGGACCTAGTAGCCGTATTAATCTATAAACACCCCTTCTTCCCTTTAGAAAGCAACTCTCCTTCCTTTCCTTTACTTCTAAAAGCGGTTAATGTATTATATAAAGAATTAGTCGTATAACAATTAGTATATACGTAATACTAGTAAGAGGGCATCGATCTTCGGCAAAACCTCTCGATTTCCGCCTATATAAGCCGGCGATATTAGGGGTCTAGAGACAAGCACGGTTTAGTACATCTTTATATAGCAAAGCGCTCTCTAAGAGAGTGGATCGGTCTGCCTCGGATACACGAGAAATCCCTGCAATTAGCACTCCGATGCGCCCAGAGCCTGTATTAGCTTCGCTTGGAAAAAGGCTTGCAGGGGCATACGACCCATAATAACGTCCCCAAATTACCCTAGAAATGCGCCAAAAGCTGCGGCAAGACTCCACTCACAAAGCCAACCATAAGAGTGCCCATCATCAACCAGATGCTGATCGCCAAAAGCGTAGACCTCGTCATGCCACCTCGATTGGACGTTGAGGAGAACACTGAGCTATTGGGATGCTGATCTTGGTTATACTGCCTTGAACTTGCCCGATCGTGTCGACTCACCGCTTCCCAGTTCTGCAGTGTGTTAGAAATCTCCAGAATGTCGTCTGTGTCGAGCCTTGGTGGTGTACGGTCCTGGTGTAGTGCCCACGTTGTCGCCATGCTCATGATGTTTTTAATCTGTGCATCTGTTGTAAGCGCCTAGGTCATGCTGACCCTTGATGCATTAAGACATACTTCTCGGCCATTGTAAGTGTTACTTGCAAGCTGCTCAAGGCCTCTGTTGTTGATGTTGACAGCCAGGTCTGTCTGACTTTGCGCGCGATCGGCGAATTCTTTCCAGATTCCCATCCGCGCCGGGAAGTCGAGCTCCGGATACTCGTGGTAGAAATGGATACGACCTGTATGACTTAGTACTCTCAGTGTTGCACAAGTGTGGTTGACCAACTGTGAAATGCCTCGTCAATGAGGTCCTTCTTGTTTGTGGTGAGAAGCATGATGCCCGGGAAGTATTCCAATTCGCGCAAGAAAACAGACACGACTGCATTGCGCTCGATACTCGTGGCAACCCGCGCCGCAAGGAAGACATCTGCTTCATCGAAAAGGACGACAGCACGCCAATGAGCAGCGAGGTCTAGGGTGCTTCGGAGGTTCTTCTCTATCTCGTCGGGCTTTGAGCCAAGGCGCCCAGCTGAGACAGTCATGAGTGGTAGATGGGCCATTTCGGCGATGGCCTCGGCGGTGAATGTCTTGCCTAGACCAGGCTTGCCGAAGAGAAGTCCGATCAGACCACGTCCTTTGTGCTTGATAAAGTCATCGAACCCAGAATCATCAATTCGACGGCCGTAGGCTTGCACAAGGGTTCCCAGTGTATGCTTGAGATGATCCTCCATGACCAAAGAGTCGAAGGCAGCGTCATTCCAGATAAAGGTTTCGACGTCCGTGACGGAGAACGCACCTATTCGCATCAGCATGCAAGCAAATGTGCATGACTTGGTGAACATACCCCATTGGCCCAGCTTGAAGTCATACCCATATACTAAACCTGATAACAGTAGTTTCTGTAGGCTGTCTAGACGTCCAGAGATGTGTGAAGCATTGCTTTGCTGATGAGGAGCTGCTCGACTATCATGCTGGCTTACTGCTGGTAACGCAGATTGCTCCTGATCAGCCGATGATAGGGGAATGATGTCGTTGCGCTTCGGTTGGAGATCTTCTTCGTCTTGTTGATTGTCACAATCCAGAAGTATTTCCTCAAGCATGAATCTCTACATGAGAAAGTCAGCATTGCAATCATCGATAGACGTCAGACCATAACATGTACCTTGCCATCTGGCTCGTCCACGACACAATCATGGTGTTCGTGATCAGAAGCAGTGAATTGGTAAACTCGTGGCATCAAGCCTTCTGGATTCACCTCAAGAGTCTTAACAGGGTCAAGCATGACCCGTCCACGAAACTGGATCTTGTCAGCACTTGAAAGCGGTCTCGCGAGGCTGACAGTCAACTGACATGCTGCTTCTTGAGCTCGATTGTGCCATCGGGCCTCTCGTCCGTGATAAGACCGTGACCTTTGTATTGTTTCAAAGTGTAAGGTGAAGGTAGACCCAGCTGCTTGGCAGCTCGATTTTCGAGCTGTTCCCTGATGCTGTGTCGATGCCCCAGCAGATGTAGCGGTTGTACTGCGAGTTGATCTAGTATTCGAGCTCCGGAGAATGGAGAGATCCAGAGGTAGTCCGTGGCCCACCCGAAGGAGCCCTGCCCGTCCGACTCCACGTAGCGGACCTCAAGCGCATACTTGCCTCTTTTATGTCCGTGCTCGATCTTTTGACCATCCTCGACGCTCCACACTCGAAAATGGCCTAGTTTGTCAGTGCCTGTGACAAGCGTGTTTGGGGCGTAAATTGTCCAGATATCTCGGAATCTCACGCGACGCTCCCTCTTCAGAGCATCAATGCTGTCCAAAGATTGCGCATAGTGCGAACGGCAGAACTCCAAAGCAGCAAGTATCTCTGTCGCCATCTGTTCACGGCCACTGACTTCGCAGAATTGCTTGAGCTCGATCAGTCGTGGCCGTGCCCAGAAGAACCATTTTGGATCTAGCTGGCGAGTCTTTCAGCTTCGAATTCTACACAGGTGCGCTTGACCTACGTCGTTGCGGTCGCCCCAGGCGAATGCATTTGCACCGGAGAAAATGTTTCTCATTAACCGGCGCAGACTTTGAGGCTTGACCTCGACTCTGATCTCGACAGGGGTTCGATGATCTCGCGAGTGTATATGTCGGATCAGAAGAATGCATTTCTCCTCTTCCGGATTTGTTGCCGCGTCAGCGGCGGGAGGAATTGTCACAAATTGTCTCTTCTCCCTATTTATTCGTCAGAACTCCGGTCGCGCATCTCCCCGCTGATCTTACTTGTCCCAACTGTGAGGCCGTTAGATATGCTTCTCCTACTGGCATGTGAGCCCATACATCACGTCCACGTGCACTATATGACTTTTCGCCGATGCAGTGTTATCAGGTGCAATTTGCTCCTTCATTGCAGTGCCTTGAAGGCTACCTTTCACATCTCCTCGTTCGATTTGGCAGTGGGTTGATGCTTCGATGACAGGTGAGTGAGGGACGCCTGGTAGAGCTGCAGACGACAGATCGCAGGTCTTGGACATAGTAAAGGAAGCTTCCTCTTCCACGGAGCTGGTAATCGATTCGTTGTCAGACTCGCTGTCGCTCATGTTCTGTACGGAGGATGTGTGAGATAGCAGGTTAGATTGGTAGAGGTCTGATACATATCATCAGAATAGCAGATGTTCAGACTTGCCGGGTGCGATGCCTTTAGCATATGCGCGTAGCCTCCGTCTGGGCATCGTGGCCCACACGTATATGCAGTCTAGTTCGGCAAATGATAGGGCTTTATTGGCACGAACGAACAAACAGGACTGATTAGAGGCTGCACTTCACGCTGGTGTCGATCATGGGACGATTGGAGTAGGACAAAGGGGATTTACCACTCCGTACCCGGTCGTTAGAATAGTGAAAGATTGGCTGTCAAGCGAGAGCTGAAAGCCAGACGTGCCGGCGTTGATGCGGGCGAGACGCTGTGCCGACTAGAGATGTTGTACACAATGGCACAGCCGTGAACATCACCGTTATTATACGGTGAATACAGACTACCTTAGCGCGTGTCTTATAAACACGTAGGTGAATATAAGATTAGTAATAATCACTTAGATAAGTAGCTGGAATAGCTGGAATAGCTGGTTTGCCGCCCTAGCCGGGTTCTCGAGGCACTAGCGCTGTAGAGATTTTTTTATGCCCCGGTCCGTACTACCTCGAGGGCGTGTTTGTTCGCGTTCTTTCGTGTTAGTATCAATAGCGGCGACAATATAGACGAAGATAGCGGCAACAACGCTGTCGACCTTACTGCCGACAGTAATAGCTAGTAGGGCTGTTGTCTATACCAAGATTGTTACTATATACCTTCTATATGTCTTATTTCCTTCATTGTTCTACTTTGTATGGGATACGCTATAATAACTGGATCCACTTGCTGACTAATCTGTGTCTCGTATATGTTCATATAGTGAACACCGTATTCATAAGCCCGGAAATTAAATACACCGTGAGTCTACATCTCTAGTGCCGACACCATTTCGAGGTGCAGCAACGCCTCGGCACATTGCCTGTTGCGGCCTGCCCCGCGTTGACGCTGATGAATAGCATTGTTGACTACTCCCCGGAGGTATCCATACTGGTGTGCTAGGATCCGGATTAAGCGACAGCTGAAGGCGGCCAGCAGTGTATGCCAGCGCCATCGATCCCGATGCAGCCGAGCCGAAGGCATACCATCGCTCAAATCGGTCGCTTGAGGATACGAGGAGTCGTGGTGTTCGCCGCCGAGGGTTGTAGCGCGCAGCAGAGCCCAGCAGTGCAGGAGTGATGTCTGTATTCTAAGTGAACGGAGATCGGCTGAAAGGTTGAACCTAATACCACAACCGGAACCCTTACGAATCATAACCATAGAACAACACTAAGCACAGGGTATACCCAGAATCATATCGTACACCGAGCCAGTCTAGGGCGCAGTCGGCACCATAGTCCAAGTCGCAGCATCACAGCTGACCTCCTCAAAATTGTGCAAAACATCAAAACCCATCGCACTCAAGCCGTCGAAGTTGCCGTCACCATCCATCTACAACAAGACAAAAGTCAGCAATCACCATCCTCAGGATCTCGAATGGCGCATCAAGACTCACATAATCCAAAACACAAACATTACATCCCTGATTCTTGACCTGTCTCATGCCCAGCAGAATCAAGCCCTGCAAGAGCGTGGAATACTCGCCCACACTAGGACTGATGACGGGACTTGAGATGCCACCCGCGACTTCTCCCAGGTCCTTCATACTAGGCACAAACTCCGCCAGCTGACTCTGCATGTTATACAGCACAACCGTGCCCACAATCGCACCATCTTCAGGCCTCTTGGCACGAATGATGCCACAAGCACTAGGATCCGCGAGAGCGAGTTTGTATACTCAGCCAGACCCTGTCGATGATTTGTCTTGATGTGATCCAAGACCGGACCGGCATAGTCCCAACCATAGACGAGATCGAAATCCGCGCCGGCAGATTGGAGAGATTTCGCCATACCGTCTGGAGGAGACCAAGTCTGGAGATTCCGAGCGACCATGCTGCACACTGAACGCGAGAGTGCAGTGTTCCAGCCCAGATTCGCGAACCAGGATCGAAGACGTTTGCGTTCGCCGCCATGTCCTGTCGGGATGCCTAGATATATGCTGGGCACTCTGGATCCGAGTTGGAAGCGTTTGACACCTTCGCGCTGGAGGAGAGTGCGAATAGCGCGATTGTGAAGAGAGTGGCCGATGGACAGCTTTCGACGGGATGGGTCGACGAAGATTGCCCCGATGACTCCTGTCCCGGTGGCTTTGAAGAAGTACGTTGCACAGAACCCATATAGGGCCTGAGTGCTGCTATTCCGGACGACGTAGTGGGCTTCGACAATTTCCGGGTTGCGGAGGAGGAAGGAATTGGAAGTTGAGGATGCGAGCTCGGAATGTAGGCCTGGTGTATTGCCATCGACGACTGCTTTGATTAAGACGTCGAGGGAATCGGAATCGCGATCTTCGTTGAAGGCTTCAACGAGCCAATGTTGCTTGGATTGTGAGAGCTTCTGGCTCTGTGAAATCGTGCCTGGAAGTGCTCCTGCTGGGGTGAAGTCGCCATAGAGCACTTTGACGAGGGACATGAGAGCAGTTTCCGTGAAGTCGTAGGTGCAGATATAGGTGCCGATGCTGGTGTCCATCGCAAAGTCGTAGGGTGAGCTGACTGACACAACAACCAATGGCTTTTCTCGTCTCTCGCCAGAGGACGTGTAGTGCATGTTGCAGATCATTGAGACATGTTTAGCGAATCCATGCTGATAGAGGTTGCGATTTGCGTCCGCTGTCACGATGATGACTGCGCCGGCTCGATTGATCAGGTTCTCGTGCTGTGGTCGCACGCCGTTCGCGGTATATGATGTGTGCAGTACTCTACCGCTTCGCTGCCTGGCCAGAGAGCGACCAAGCTCTCGAAACACTCTTTCACCGCTCATGACTGATGCATTACGTTCCCAGATTGCGGGCTCAGGCGAGCCGTTCGTGATCTGGTCGGACAGCGCTCGTGCTGCAGCGGAGGCGGCGAGTGGCTTGACCAGTGGTGTTAGCAGCAGCAATTCGTCCTCGGGCTCCATGAAACTCGTCAGCGGTAGCAGCCGGTTCTTATCTCGCACAACGGTAATCGAAGAATTGTACGCCTTGGTCGAGAGCGTTGTATGCGACGGCTGTAGTTTCGATAACAGCGGAATGCCAGCCGGATTGAGAGCCTTCTCCCAGGATGTACATTTCGCCTTCATATCCAGTATCCGACGAAGCGACATTCTGATCCGTTCCTCGCTGATCATAGCATTCTCCAGGCCCAGCTTGAAGCCATCAATCGCTTCCTGCTGGTGTACTGGAGAGCGACAGAGGAGGACAATGTCGCATCCTGCATTAACAGCCATGACAGTGCCACCACCGACACCAATGTTGTGGCTAAGAGCCTCCATTTCCAGGCAGTCGGAGATGACAACGCCATCGAAGTGCAGGTCATTTCTCAGAAGATCATTGACGACTTGGTCAGATAGGCATGCATGCATGACATTGAGGCCTGGCGAAGCCATGGCACAACCACCCACCATCATTGCATCTAGTCCTTCCTTGATGGCATTTCGGAAAGGAACCAGAGCGTTCAAGCTGAGTGACTCGAGACTTTCAGTGATTGTAGGCACATCCAAGGCGGATCCGAGAAACTCCAAGCTGCCGTAAGATGGAAAGTGCTTGCCCATACATGCCAAGCCCGCGTCCTTGTAGCCTTTCAAGAAGGCTATTCCATAAGCTGAAACTTCTTGAGGATTGTCGCCCGTGGTTCGAACGCCAAGCGGCTGATTTCTTGCATTGGTGAGAACGTCCAGAACAGGTCCGAACATCAAGTTGATGCCACATGCTGCGATCTCTTCTGCTGTTGCTTTCGCCACTTCGTACGCAATCTCCTTGGATCCTGTGGCTGCCAGTCCCATTGCAGAGGGATATTGTCGTATATAGATCTCGTCGAAGAGACTGTTGACGCCGCCATTCTCTTGGTCGATGCCGATGGCCAGCGGCACTGGATGTCCGGCATCGTAGGCACACTGCTGTAGTTCACGTATGAGCTCTGTAGCTTGCTCGGCGTCTATAGAATGTCAGTGCACATGGATATTGTGATGCAATAATCGGCACTGACTCTTGAAGTTTTTGGCTGTAAGCAGCAACGAGCCAATGTGATGTTCTGTGATCAATTTTCGTATCTGGGGCGTGATTGTGGTTCCCTCGAATCCCATCTACCGAAGGGAAAGCGGTATAAGCATCAGAACACTACAAAGCAGTGGCGTGAAATGCAAGAAGCAGGGCGGAACTCTGGATCAGGTAGACTTGCCATAAACAGCTGCCCCAAGGTCCTGCCATAGCGTTAGCCCAACGTGCCAGATGATTGCCGTCGACACCCTAGCACAAGAGTTTCAAGTGGAAACACGTACTTGTCCATGTCGTCCCAGACGGGATCCAGAGCATTAGACCTGCCATCTCCGTTCGTGATGGCCATCCTGACAACTTCCGCCGCCAATCAGCCCAAGTACTAGGTTCTACCACCATGCAGTGCTAGCTGCCCGCAAAGCCAGTCGGACAGCGTGATGGGACACCACGCGACGGTATACAACGTTGCTTCGCAGGTGGATCTCGTGGAGTCGAGTGGGCAAACTATAGCATCCTTTGCGGCATGGGCCTGAGGATACGTAGCTTGGCATTCGGCAATTGGATCTGTCCGACTAACAATGATGGCTGGCGGCGTTGCATCGAGTAGAATACGGAGGGCGACATGGACGAGGCGGGTGAATAGAGTATCGCGCTAAAGTCGACGACGGCGACATCACCTCCTGCTCATCCTTCCATCGCACTACGGATACTACCTCACCTCCGTCGTTGCAACGTGACAATGCCATTGGACTGGGTCTTCTCGCAACCTTCTTGCTGTCAAAATTGTGCTCCCCCCGAGATAGGCCGGCGACGGCGTGCTTCTCCGGTAGGCTCGGTCTCAGCAGCGACGATGGAGCTCGCCGTGGTGGCTGCTACAACAAAGCAATGTCAGCTTGGCCTGTCACTGCTGTGGCGTCTCGTCCTTCATGTGGCTTCACGATACCACATGCTCGTCATGCTGGTCCGGTAGAATCGCGCCTCGTCGTGAGCTGTCACCCTAGGTGACCATGAGCTTCCCTAGCCCGTCTCGTTATTCTTCTTATCACATGTTACTGGCCTACGAGACTCCTCCCATTGCGTTCTGCTTACCTTCAATTACTCTCTCTTGACTTCGAGCAGGCTCGATATAGGATCGTGTGCGGACAGGAGCCTCACACCTCGCAGATATATCACGAACCAACCCGACGATGCCGATCGCCGTATCCCCCGAACGACCACGCACCGGTGTCACACGCTTGACGGGAGGGAGGCTGGTCAAGGGCGACAAACTCATCGAACACGATCTATGGATATCCTCGGTGACGGGCAAAATCCTGCACGACCAAGAAGTCTTCTACGAGCATCATGTCACACCTGACGAGATCATTGACCTCGAAGGCAAGATCTTGTGCCCGGGATTCATCGATGTGCAATTCAACGGCGCCTTCGGCTATGACTTCTCGACGATACCTGAAGATGGCATGGAAGGATATGTGAAAGGGCTGAGGAAGCTGAACAGACATCTCATCAAGACTGGTGTGACCAGCTACTTGCCCACAATTCCGAGTAACAACCCAGAAATATACCAGAAGACTCTGCCGCACTTAAGACCAAGCGGCGACTCGCGCAATCCGCTTGAAGGGAGTGAAAGTCTCGGCGCGCACGTTGAGGGACCTTTCATCTCCCCTACGAAGAACGGCATACACAGTCATGATGTTCTGCGGACGGCATCGAATGGCTTTGGCGATATTGAGGCGTGCTATGGATCGGAGAACCTACCCCTCGGCTCTCGTGGCCCTATCACGAAAATCACAGCGGCGCCCGAAGTGGAAGGCGTCGCGCAGCTGATACCAGAATTCACTCGGCGCGGCATAATTTTCAGCGTGGGTCATACCGAAGCCACGTATGAGGATGTCACCAACGCAGTGAGGTCTGGCGCAACAATGATCACGCACCTCTTCAACGCCATGCGTCCCCTCCATCACCGAAATCCCGGACCATTCGGCGTGCTCGGCAAGGCAGAAGAGACGGAAAGACCTTATTTCGGCGTCATATCTGATGGGATACATCTTCACCCTACGACCGTGAAGATTGCATACAACGCGCACAAAGACGGCTTCATCATCGTGACAGATGCAATGAAGACTGTGGGACAGCCTGATGGAGTATACGAGTGGACGAATGGAGACCGATTCATCAAGAAAGGGAGTGTGCTTACGCTTGAGGGGACAGATCGACTAGCAGGAAGCTGTGCAACATTAGTGGAGAATGTCAGCAACTTCTGGACCTGGAGTCGAGCAAGCATACCGGAAGTGATCAAGGCCGTTACATACACGCCCGCAAAGATGCTGGGCATTGAGAGGGCAAAGGGTACAATCGAAGCAGATGCAGACGCAGACCTACTTGTCCTAGACCCGATTGAAGAGGCAGATGGGCAGAAGAGATTTGAGGTTGAGCAGGTGTGGAAATTTGGAAGCCTTGTGTTTGATCGCCAGAGGGAAATCGTCGGGTATGAGAGCAGGTGCTGATGCTACGGGCGTTGGGAACCATGAGGTACGTTTTGTAGCAACTGCATGTTCAGACTTATAGAGAAGCGAGCAATGTACATTTAAGACAAGACTGGGATATGTTTGCAAAGAATCGGAGTTTGGTGTGAAGCTGGATCTGAACATTTCCTACATCGCGTGCGAGAGAACTGGAGCCGCGCTAAAGCCAAACTTCCCTGGGTCAGATGCTGCAAGGACGAGGGTATAATGGCCGCTGAGGGACGAAGCTGCTTTTGGCGTGAAAGTGCTATTCGGTTAGGGGAGGCATCCTGATCATTGTGAGCGTAAGGAACTACTGCGATCTCGTCACTCGACGCCTACAACACCAAATTGCCCTGTGTCGACAGCACAGATTCACGAGCGGTATGCTCCATCATTGTTCGACCTGTCCGGATCCTTTGTTGAGCACTCGCAAGAGAAACAAAGTTATTGTTGGGTTCTTTGCGAGATGCAGACGAAGGACTGTTTTCTTTTCACTTCGACGACCAACGAAGAAGCTGATATTAGAGACATCGATCTGTCCTCATCTCTCAATTCCCCAGACCATATCACACCAGCGTCAACAGTCCTGCAGACCGGATCTGCAACCTCGAGATTCCAGTATGGACGCCACACAACCCCAAACGCCCAGCATACCCACTACCAGCAGAGACCTCCCAAGCCAACACGACTTCTTCACAAACGGCGGCCTCATCTCATCCTCCAAAAACCTCGAAAACGGATACCCAATCTGCTCCGAGCCCGAAGTAACTCTCCCCCGCCCATGCAGATTCACATACTGCACAGAATGCATCCTAGAATGGCTAACAAGCACCGAAATAAACACCAGTCCAACGTGTCGAAAAGCGATGTTCCAAACCATTCAAAACGGCGGAAAGAGAGAGTTCCATTGCAAATCCGAAAATCCCCAGGATTTCGGCAGCGATGTTCATTCAGAGGGAACGAGGGAAGTCAGTCAGTCAGTCAGCATGTATGTATGTCTCACTCCTTGATAACTGTCAGTACGTGACATTTGGCTCTGGCTAAATATTATATGCCAAGATATTCTGTTCGATGACCAGACTCGCTTTTCACAAGAGGGGGAGACAGACGGGGAAAGTCGACGAAATGAGAATCTATACTTCCCTCATGCCAATAACACCAGAACTCCGTAAAACATAATCTATACCCCATAAACAGAAAAGAAAAAAAAACCCTCGCTCGCTCACTCCTCCTCCTCCTCCTCCAAAACCCTCTCTAACCCCTCCACCATCCCCTTGACAATCTCCTCCCCCTCCCACAACCCCACCATCTCCTCTTTGGCAAAAAGCCCAAAACAAACCCCCCCACCCCCACGAATCGAAACCTCAAAATCCAAAGAATGCAAAAACGCATCCCCAGCTCGAAAACTTTGCAAACCGACCGGCATCCCAAACTCCAGCGGTGGCATCTCAGCTTCATCAACAACTCTCGAAAAATCCCCGTCCCACCTCTCATCATCATTACGCTGATGAGAAATCTTGACCTCCTCCTCCTCATCATCACCACCAATCCCAGAGACCTTCTCAGGAACTTTCAAAAAATTCACAAACGTATCAACCTTGATTCCAGTCCATTCGAAAATTTCCCTCAAACTCGCCGAAGCGTTCTCGAAACGTCCGATGTTTTTGATATCGGTGTCGATCTGCTTGGCAAGTTCCAGTGAGGCTGTGTTGAGGGGATTTCGAATGCGAAGGGGAAGGAGATTCAAAGTTGGGGCGGCGAGTTGGTCGAGATCGGGGAGGTGGGAGCGATTGGCGAGATAGATGCCGATGACGACGTCGTCAGAGGAGCCAGATTGGGGTGTTTGGGCTCGAGATGCGTAGGTTTTGGCGTAGACTGCGAAAAGGAGAGATTGGATGGTGATGCCTTTAGCTCTTGCGTGACGCTCAAGCTTGTCGCCGAGAGGAAAAGCAGCTGGGTGGAATATCTGTACCTTTCTGGTTGCCTCACGGTGTGGCTGCTTCAACTGCGGAGGCTTGAGGTCGGCAAGATATCGCTGCCAGAAGTTTTGTCGTGACTGTTTTGCGTCGGTACGGCACGAAGCTGCCACGAATTCTTTGAAAGACGTGGTAGGCAGTGGAACAGTTCGAGCATTGAGTAGATCTTGCAGTTGACCTAACAGAAGTTGCAGTGACACCGCATCGTAGAGCGCATGGTGAATCCTTAGTGCCAAGTCGAAGCCTCCTTTGACTGCGTTGACAGACAAGGACGCCATTGGCTGTGAGCCGGCTCTTGATGCCCTCTCTGGCAAGGCCTTGAGCACGATTTGCATTAAAGACGGTTCGTAACCAGGTCGGGATACCAAGACTGTGCGTAGGATTGGACTGCACTGCAAGAGTTGCTGCCAGGCAGCATGTATCCGACTCTCAGGGTAATGCGTCTTGACGTGATAGCGAAAGGTTGGATAGAACAGCTCTCCGCCACTCTTCTGCCACAATGATAGCAAATACTCCTGTCCAGCAGTGGCAGGGAGAATGACTTCGACGTTTTGCTCCTCAATGCCAGCTTGACGACACAATGTGCTGACGTCGATGCCTTGCAATGCAGTAGAGATCGTGTCATCGGGAGATACGCCATTTGCCTGTGAAGAAGTTGATCCGGCGTCGATCATGGCCGCTATACGTTTCGGCGTCTGGGCTTTCAGAATGTCACTGACTGAAAGCTTGATAGATTCTCTTCGCAGGATTGCCGCAACCTTGATCGCAGAAATAGAGTCTATGCCGATGCTCTCGAGACTTGTCGTCGAAGACACTTCTTGTACGTCAAGCTTGGACACTTGAGCCAGTGCAGAGCGTATGGAGTCTGTTGTTGGAGACTCGATGTCGGACTCTTCATCCGAATCATCGACGAGGTCCGCCTCACGTGTAGTCTGCCTCGATAGTGATCCCATCTGCAAGGGAAACGCTGGTAATGAGCAGATCGAAACTCCATCGTCCGTGAAGTCGACTGTGGACTCATCAGGATTTTCGACTAGATGACATAGTACGTGGTCGAAGCGCTTCACGAGCGCATCAGCTCCCTGCTGGTCCAAAGCATACGATTTGCAAGAGGTTCGAATGATGAGATCTTCACCAACTGCCTCAACTTCCACAGCGACTGGATAATCGACGTTCGCATCTCCACCCACGGACTCATATAGAGTGTGGCTAGGCGCCAAGTTGTGGCCTCTGTTTTGGAAGATGAACAAAGTATCGAAGAGGCCATTCATCGTGCTCTTACTGGTGTCAATGACTGCGGCACAAGCTGCTTGAATGGAGCGCAAAGGGGTATGTTGAAATGGACGAATCTCGTTGATGGTGCTTTGCAGATGTTGTAGCAATTCTTGGCCTGTTCCATGAAGCGACGCGCGAATTGGAACAGTGTTCATGGTTGGGAACAGGACTTGCTCCGCTTCTTCGCTCTCTCGACACGCAAGTACGACACCGAATGTCACCTCGAGCTCATGCTCATAGTACGCAAGCAGCGCCGCCCAAGCAGTTTGCGCGAGAGCCTGCAATGAGATACCGAGCTGCTTGCATACCTTACGAGCATCACTGGCTGGGACTGCTGATGCTCTCTCGGAGTGATATGTGGCCGAATGGGAATTGTCCCCGGCATTGGTGAAGGCGGTCAGCTTCGTACCTGCCAAAGCATTACGCCAGAAAGCGCTGGATTCATCGCTCGTCGAGTCAAGTGCCAGTTCCAGTACTTCTTCGTAGGAAGGACGGGTCTTCAACGATCCTTCATAGGCTTTTCGGAGATCTTCATGCAGTAGTGCCAGACTGTCACCGTCATATTGCGCATGGGCCAGCGATAATATTAGGTAGTGATCCTCTGAGACTGTCGCAATCGCTAAACGCAGAGGGGATGTTGACATGAATGTTTTCTGAACGTCTGATCGGACGCGTTCCAAGTAAGTGTTGAGATCGTTCACGCTGGCCGCTTCGAAGGCGTCAAACTGTATGCGTGCGGGCTGATGTATCATCTGAGCATAGGTGGCATCAACTCTCGGATCTTCAATCTCAAGAAATGATGTCCGCAGAATAGGCGAGGCGTCGACGACCGTTTGCCACGCATCTTTGAGCTTCGTCAAGTCCACATCGCTCCGCAACTTCAAGATGTCCGAGTTGTAGTAATCGCGAAATTCGGAGCGAACCATGTCTGCTATGAGGGCTTCTTGGCCCGGTGCCGCAGGTATGATTTGTTCAATTGCTTCAGGCTTGTGTGGCCATATCCCTCGGAGCTGCTCTTCCAGTACCTTCAACTTGCTCCGGGATTTGGAAGAAGATGCAGCGTCCCTCGTCTCCAGAACACCCAGTATCCGCGGAATGGTTTGAGCTTGGAGTAATTTGCTGACGGGCACTGACAGCCCGGCTCGTTTCATGCGCGACGCAAGCTTGACCGCGTCAATGCTGTCAAGACCTAGCGTGTATATGGCAATGTGTTCATCGATCGACTCTTCGTCGCAGCCGACGATGTGCGCAATTATCTCACGGAGTTTGAGAGCGTCTGGTGTCCACTCAAAGTCTATAACCCCGTCAAGCATGGTCATGTCTTGCCCTTGAGTGGGTGTACTAGAGACGCTATTCTTGGCAACCTTGAATTTGTCGTCAATTGGTTGATCAGCATCAGCTGATAGCACTGTGAGCGCTTTCTCAAATGTCTCAACCAAGGACAGCAGGGTTGATTCGGTGGCAAAGCCACTTCGAGCTACTACAGTGACCAATAGTCCTCCGGAAGTATCGAGCTCGACCTCGAAAGCCAGTGGATATTCTGCTGCGATTTCTGTATCCAAGGCTTGGAAGAGCTCATGCGCAGCAGATGTAGATGACTCCGGGCGCTGGAAGACGAAGAGCACGTCGAACATTGGGTCCGCCGGATTCCTCCCGCAATGCTTTCTAATTTCCCGCAAGGGTGTATGCTGGAATGGCAGGCAGATCGAGTTGGCGTGGTGGCATCGCTGTATGTACTGGCGCCATGTGTCTGTACTTTGGAGCTCAACGGCAAAGGGGATGGTATTGAACATAGGCCCAATGATCAGTTCTGCCTTCTCTAGGGGGATAGATCGTCCCGAAAGGACAACTCCATAGCTCTGGGTGTGAGGTGCTGTCTGGTGGAGAGCGATAGTGAACGCCGCTTGAAGCATTGCTTGATGAGAAACGCCAATATCTCGCCGCACAGTCTCGAGCTCCTCGAGAAAGGGCAAAGCCTTGCGCACGTGTATGTCTTGCTCCAGCGGTTGATCGCAGAGAGTCGGTAGCGGCGAATAGTGGAAGTCTTGCATTCGCATCTGCCAAAATGGCTTGGCGTCTTTGCGGCGGCACAGTGGTCCATACGCGATTGCTTCGTGGAAGTTCGGACCACCGTCCACTTCGGAGGCTTCTGTATAGATATCTGCGAGTCGATCCATGACGAGATCCCAAGATATGCCATCATACAGAGCATGATGAATGAAAAATGACAGGAAGCTGCCCTGTTGATTTTGGACGATGAGTATCTGAAGTGGCTCGCGCACGTCTTGGAAAGCTTGACCCGACCACTCATTACGTCGCTTGCTGAGGTAGAGGTGTATATCATCGTTCCCAATCGCGACCACCTCCAACGGACAGCGACGTTTGCGTAGGACGACCTGACCGAACCCGTCCTCGGTGTTCACAAATGAGGTTCGAAGGATGGGCAGAAACTGGTGGGCACGTTTTATTGCCTTTTCGAGCTTCTGGATCTGGATTCGCGGAAGCTCGTAGAGAAAATGGTTGAAATATGGTCTCTGCGTGCTTTTCAGAGATTCGATCAAAAGACCTTCTTGTAGTGGAGTGCATGGCGCCAAGGACTCAATGTCGGCAACGTTGATGTTCATTGCCTTTGCTGCAGTGCTACGATGTCGTTGAGCGAACGCCGAAATGGACAACTGTGCTTGCATAACAGCACTACGCTCCTCCCGACTTGCATCTGTGTCTTCTGTCAATGCAGTAGCAAGGCGGTCGACGTTTTGATTGTTCATCACAGTAGCGATGCTCGCATTCCTAAAGCCAGCTCGCTTCAGCATAGATGTGAAATTGATCGCGGATACTGAGGATAGTCCCAGAGAGTATATGTTCGAGGCAGGCAAGACATCGTCGGTATCGATCGAAAGAAGCTGAGCCAGAATTCTTGCAATTTTTCGTTCGGCCGGCCGCAGCTTCCGATCTACAGAAGTGTTGCCCTTCAGCGTTTGAAGGTCTTTGGTCGAGAGTGAGGAGAAGAGTGAGATCAGACGCTTGGTGTCCACTTTGTTGTTTACCGTCAGCGGTATCCGAGTGACTGGAATCATATGAGTTGGCACCATATATCCGGGAAGGCGGTCTCGACATGCTCGGTCTGCTATGCCCACCAGTTCTCTAGAGAGCTGTAGATCGACGATATTAAGGTCCCGGCTCCGTGCGTCCGACACCACCAAGAAAGAGACGAGCATTGCGCGAGAACCCTCCTGTGACTTGACCACAAGCGATGCGACATCAGCAATGTCGGCCGTGGACTGTTTGATGACGGCGTCAATCTCGTCAATCTCCAATCTTTGGCCGCGAAGTTTCGCCTGAGTATCTTGACGGCCAATGAAGCAGACTGAACCATTGGCCAGCAATCTTACCAGATCTCCAGTCCTGTACACCTTCTCTCCATACTTTTCAAGAAATGGGAACGCCTTAGCGGTGAGGTCGGGTCTGTTCAAGTAACCTTTACCGACCAGCTTTCCGGAGACACACAGCTCGCCCACCGCTCCACGCATAACAAGCTCATCGGTCCCGGGTTTGAACACATAAGCACCCACATTATCGAACGGTGGTCCGATGTTGGAAGGCTTCGCATCTGGCCCAATATGCGGGTTCATGGTCACACCAATGGTGGCTTCTGTAGGGCCGTATCCGTTATAAATCGTGTGTAACGGGCCCCAGGAATCAATGATCTCTTGCTTCAAAGCCTCGCCTCCCGTAATGAAGACGTGGCCGTGAAGGCTGGGTACGTCATCCGGCTTCAGAAGACGTGCCAGAGACGGGGTAAGGTCGATATGGGTGATATTTGCAGCTCGGATGAATGCTGGTAGATCTTCCAGGACCACATCTCGCGGTGCGCCAACGACAGTGATCCCAACACTCCAACTCCAGAACTGCTCTAGAACGGAAACATCGAACCAATAGCTGGCAAATTGCAGCCATCGTGAAGAGTCAGTCCAGTGATCGGCAAACAAGCGTTGGAACGCCATCATTGCTTGCACGGCATTCTCATGGGACAATTCGCAACCTTTTGGGTTCCCGGTTGTACCACTCGTGTAGAGACAGTAGCTGGTAGCTTGCGCATGTATCGGCGCAACGTCAGGGGAAGTTGCAGGGTAGCTCATCAGCATGTCTTCACTCAGCTCCACGACAGGAACGGCGCGCTCCATGTCTTTGCTGATCTGACCATGGTTCACAAAAAGAAGCTGAGATCTCGAGTCCTCCACAATAAATTGTCTCCTGGCACGAGGTAGGTCCGGGTCCATAGCCAAGAATGCGCATCCCGCTTTCAAGATACCCACGAATGCGAATGTAGCTTCGGGGCACTTGGTCATACACACAGTGATAGTACTATCAGGTCTGATTCCGCGTTGGCAGATCAAATGAGCGATCTGATTGCTGCGACTGTCCAGATCACGATAGGTCCATGTCTTTCTTGACTTGCGAGAGCCGCTGAGATCATAGATAAACTCGAGAGCAACTTTATCAGGATGCTCTTTGGCGCCTCGCTCGACGAACTCATGAAGAAGATCCACCTCACATGGAATTGTTGGTTGTTTGGCAAACACAGCAGACATCAGAGCCGCTGAATTCCCTCCGCCCAAGTTTTCGTTTCTTGAGATGATACGTTGAAGGAGAACATCGTACTGTTGCAGAATCAACAATGCATGAGGCTCCGGTACAGTGCTTGTCTCATGGGTGATTCGAAGTCGAAGCTTGCCACTTTCCGCGTGCTCAAGTTCAAGCGAGACCACGTAATCGATGCCAAGATCATTGCCGATGGGTTTCCACTTGAACATGGTGGCGTTTGAGTCGGGCACTTTTTGATAGATAAAGATTGTGTCAAAAAGTGCATGGCCGGCAGAGCCCGCGAAACGTTGAATGTCAGACAGGGACGAGAAGCGGTACCGCTGCGCCGAGGCATTGTATGAGACCATGTCTTTGACAACTGCAATGGGCTCTTTGTCAGTATCGCAGAAGACTGGCAATGTTGAGATTGACGGAAAGGCGATCGGCCTGGAAGAGCTTGCGGATGCTCCTGCGAACACGGTCCCCAAGGCGACGCCCGCCTCCCCGAAACAGGCAGCAAGCACGAGCGCCCATACACTCGGCCCCAGAGCTTGGATCGTGACGCCTTCTGTCCGGCAGAAGTCCTCGAGCTCTTCAGCATTCAGATTGAGATCCTTCTCTGAAGAGCTAGCACGAGATTGCTCCACGATGGTGGACGTGAGGTTCGGGAACTTGACGAGATGCGAAGACTGAAGCGCAGTCCTCCAGAAGTCTTCGCTTTGCGCCTTGACTTGTATTGAACCTTCGAATTGCGCCTTCAACACAGGATCGAGGTCTAGAGAAGGCCCCAATTCATCCCCATTCAAAGCTTTGGCGAAGTCAGAAAAGAGGATGCTCAGTGAAGCAGCATCATAGAGAGCGTGATGTAGCGAGACGCGCATTTGACGGCCATCTGCAGAATCTGAAAGGGACAGGCGCCAGGCAGGCACATGCAGAGATTGAAGGACTTGTTCACTCGTAACCCTTTCCAGGTCTGCAGTCGAAATTTCTTCCGAGTTCAGAAGTATGGTTTCCAGGTGAGATCCAGGACGATAGATGAGCATCGCGAATGGTTGCTCCGCGTTGTCGAGCTGCGCAAATCCCATGCGGAGCACCTGGTGACGTTTCTGCACTTCACCCCAAGCAGCTTTGATCTGTCCTGCGTGCACTCCGTCGGGCACTTCGAAGGTGCTGTGGTTGAAATAGTGTGAGCCCTGAGATTGAATGAATTGCGCCAGCATACCGCTCTGTACTGGTGTGCAAGGGCGTATGGCTTCCAGTTGCTCTTTTTCAAGACTCAAAGATTGCACAAGGTCATCCTTGTGTCGGGCCTCAAATTCCGCGAGATCCACACGACTTGTGAGCTCTTGCGACGGTATTTTGCTCGTAGACAGGTAGCTGGCCAGGGCGGAAGGCGTCGCATATTGCATCACATCAGCCGCATCAACTCTCAGGCCGACTTTCCGGAGCCTTGAGGCAATCTGAACTGCATTCAAGCTATCCAGTCCGATTTGATAGAGCGATGTGTGTTTCGTGATGAGCGAAAGTGCCAGTCCTGCGAGTCCGGCGAAAGCTTCTCGGATCAGTCGTTCTTCATCTGTCCAGGGCACATCGCCGCCGTCTTGCGGAACGCCAGCCTCATGCTCGACACCGTTTGGGTCGGCTGCCGCGAGTTTTGCCGCGAGTTCAGACACGTCGAACTCTCCAAGATAATCCATCGAGCTTGATGGATACCTCATGCATGCCACCAAGCTGGCAGCGAAAGCGTTTGTAATCACAGGCACCAGCTCATTTGGCACCTTTGCTGGCAGATAATGCACTTGAAGTTCGAATCGATCGCTGTAAGGAGTCGCTTCCATGACTAGTGGAATGCCCATGTCCATATCATCTTCTTCTATGTCCCAGGGTTGGTCGTCGTTGTGCGGTGGCTGAACTAAAAGAAGAGAATCGAAAAGCGGTGTCGATGGTGTGGCCGAGAGAGCTTGAATCCGCCGAGAAGCTGTCAGCTGGAAAGGCAAGCACTGGAGATTCAGGTCATGCAAGCCGCGAATGAGATCGAGATTGGTTCGATACATGTCCAATCTGAGCCGCAGAGGCACCGTATTGAAGCACGGTGCCACCAGTCGATCTACGCCTTGCACTGGCACGGAGCGGCCACTGACAACGTTGCCAAAGCATATATCAGACACGGCTTGAGCGCACGCGAGGGCCTTGGTCCATGCCGCCTGCATGATCGCGAGGCTGGTACAAGCATGTCGCTCGCTGAATATGTCCAATTCCCGAGGAGAGAGTGCCAAGGTATGTTCATAGATCTGTTCCCGCTGCACGCCCTGATTGGAAACGGTTGGGAATGGATGTGCCGCAAACCCCGAGATGCGAGACGACCAGAAGTCGATTGCATCTTTGCTGTTCTGTGCCATGACCTGCTCGAGGAATGGTTCAAATGAGATCGGAGATGGTAGTTGATGGCCATGGTAAAGGCCGCGCATTTCATCAAGGACATTTGCCATCGAAATGCCATCGTACAGGGCGTGATGCATCTGTATATACAACACTGTGCCATCCTCATCTATGCTTATCGGATTCTGTGCGGACACCTTCCTCGGACTGGGGGCGAGGGTGTTGTGGCCTTTGACATGACCATTGGCTGAGCCATTTGCATATCCGTTTGCCAGACTTTTGGTGACCGCGGGTCTTGTCGAATTCCAAGAGATAGGCGAGTTCTGAAGCACAACTTGTGCAAAAGGGTGCTCCGCAGCAGCTGTCTCGACGAAAGACGTTCTCAGGATTGTGTGTCTGCTTGTGAGCATGCGCCAGCACTTCTCGACGAGCTCCATGTTGCCTCCTACATTGATCCGGGTGGTATTGCAGTATGCGCCTGAGTCCTGGGCAAGCCCAACAGATAGCATGGTTTCCTGTAAAGGTGTGCAGGGAAGAACGGCTTCCACCATTAGGTCTTTCTCGGCGTAGGACTTTCTGATCTCCCCGACAAAACCTTCATCAAAGACTTCTCGCACGTTGATCGGCGTCACAGAAGATTTCTCTTCGGTACCCCCCGACAACAGCCGAGCCAAGCGCGCGACGCTGGGGTGGCGTAAGATGCTGCTGACGCTGAGACGTGTGCGAAGCTCCTTCTCGATCCCCTTGGCATATTGAATCGCGTTCAGCGAATTGAGTCCTAAAGAGAAGAATGAGATGCTTCTCGAAATGCTCGAGATCTCAATGTCAAGCAAGTTCGCCAAGACCGTCGCCAAAGTGCGCTCTGTCGAGGTTGATGGAGGATCGCCATCAGGCTCGTCTTGCGAACGGGAGAGTGTGTTCTTGATGCCCGGATCAAGCTGTTCAGAAATTTCTCGTAGCTTTCGCTTGTCGAGCTTGCCTTGTGCAGTCACGGGAAGTCTGGTCAATGGCACAAGAATGCTTGGGATCATGTACGCAGGAAGTGACGATTCGAGAAGCGCAAAGAGAGTTGACGTTTGCTCGTTCGCGGAACTTGCAAGGGCACAGCGCTCGGAAGGATCTGATGATTGGGCGAGAGTGGGCACCCAAAAGGTCGCGAGCATTTGTGTCGAGCTCTTGTCTCCGAGAAGGAGCGTGGTGCAGTCTGCTACCGCATGGTGGTTGGAGAGGAGTGCGTTGATCTCGCCCAGCTCCACTCTGTTGCCTCTGATCTTGACCTGATCATCCCGCCTGCCGGAGATAAGGAGCGTACCATCGGAGAGGATCCGGCCCATGTCACCGCTTCGATAGATTCTTCCGTATGTAGGATGCGGAACGATCTTCTGTGCATTGAGATCATCACGTGCCACATAGCCGCGAAACACCTGCTCACCGCCGAAGGCGAATTCTCCATAGGCTCCCGCAGGCAAGATGCGGAAGTCATCTTCTGGCGCGATGACAAATGCCGAAGTGTTCCGGAGCGGAGGTCCAATGTTGCCAAGCACATCCTTTGGTGATACATCCATTTTGATGGAACAAATGTTGGTTGTCTCGGAGGGACCATAGCCTTGATGTAAACCATGACCCGCCCAAGTCTTGTGCACTTTCTCTGTGATACCTTCGCCAGCAGTGACCAGGAATTTGACGCTTGGAACATTGCTTGGATTCGCCAAAGCGGCAACGGTAGGGGTTAGGGAAAGATGTGTCGCCTGGAACCCGCGTATGCTTCGTTCAAAGTCCCGAAACATGACCTCTTTTGTGGCGGAGCACAAGCACATGCCACTGTAAAATGCGAAGAATATCTCGAAAACGCTTACATCGAACGCTTGCGAACAAGACTGAAGAAGTCGATCCCCAGGAGAGACTTCGTAGAGCTCGCTCAAAACAGCCAGATTACCTTTGAGGTTGTCCATGGTCACAGCGACTCCTTTCGGCTGCCCAGTGCTACCCGAGGTGAAGACTGCGTAGGATATCCTCGATCCAGCCTGCTCTACCTGAAATGAGGACGCCTCATGTGGTAGTTTGGCCATCGAGAGATCGACGATTCGAACACTAGCGAGGTCTCGAAAGCTTGAAGCGGTCTCGGCATCGCAGACACAGAGGTCGACATTTCCTTGGGCGAGGATTGACTTGATGCGCGCAGTCGGCGTGTCGGGGACGAGAGGCAGGTATCCTGCGCCACACTTGAAGCTTGCAAGCATAGCTACGTACAGGTCGATGCATTTCTCCATGCAAATGACTGCGAGACCTTGAGGCTGGAGGCCTGCGGACTTGAAACAACGCGCCATGCGGTTAGCTCTCGCGACAAGTTCTGCGTATGAGACGGAATCGGCCACCAGTGGTGACGCTTCCAGGTCTGTTGCAAACAAAATAGCCGTGGCTTCTGGATGCTCCTCGGCTCTCTGGTCTATGACGGTGGTGAGCTCATAAGTATTGGCATACCGGGTCGGGTCCGGGTTCGAAATTGACAGTAATTTCGTGGGTAAGAGCGTGTTGGTACTCGCAACGGCGCATGCCGGATTGTCCACCAGTGCAAGTGCCACATGTGCAACCAGGTCGACAAACACATCAGCCTGCTGGGCATCTATGAGGCTCCCGTCATAGGTGGCTCGCACTCTGACATGGGTAGACGTAGGCTCAAACTCCAGGACTAGTTTGAACTCCAATCTGTCCTGAGAGTCGGTCAGAGTCACAGTGTTCGCGACTTCTTGGAGATCCATGGTAGATTCCTGCCAAACGAAGAGCGTGTCAAATAGTGTTGTACCGGGTGCAATGCCGGCAGCTTGTCTGATCGCCGTTGTGGGGACGAGAATGTTGTCTTGCATGGCCCGACTACGGCTCGTCATTACGCTCAGAAGATCGGCATTGGTGCGTGTGCTGCTGAGGTCGATGCGAGAAGGCAACGTTGCGAGGCATGGCCCAAAAACAGTGTCTATTCCCTGCACGGGAATTGTGCGGCCGGAGAGCACCGTACCGAAGGTCACATCAGTCATTCCCGTATAAGCCCCAAGCACCAGTGCGAGTGCTGCTTGAAATATTGCTGGTGTGCTGCAGTTTAGGTCAAGTGCTTTCCTCCTCATGTCCGATGTTCGTGCTGTTGTCTGGCGCCATGATGTCCGCTTGAGACCATGCTCCTCGTGTTGTCCTCGCAGGATCGGTAATGTGGTCGCGGCAACGTCACGGAGGTGCTCTTGCCAGAAGTCCAAAGCAGAGGATCCAGTGGCCAGCTTCTCAGAGGCAAGGTAATAGTCAGAGACAGCTTTGAATGGCGTCGATTTGATATCCGTTCGGCCGTGAAGTGTTGCGGCAAGATCTTTCCTGAAAATATCGATGGCCCACTGATCATACAAAGCGTGATGCGCCAGGAGCAAGAGTCGGCATCCTCTTGTATCACGTGTCAGTTGATACCGTATAGGTCGAAGCAGATCTGCATCGCTCTCCATTCGAAAGTTGTAGTCGAAGTTGGACACCTCTTGGATTTGAGCAGCGGCAAGGGAACTCCATACCACATTGATATAGGACCACGGGGAGCCAGAAACCGCCACAAAACCAGATCGCAGGAGAGGATGTACCGCAGAGAGCGTGTGAAGAGCATGCCGAAGCGCGGTACAATCTTGCCGATCGGGTAACAGAAATTCGACCCAGTTGCAATAGGCTTGACTATTCTTCGATGTTTCTGCGAGCATGGCTGTCTGGGTCCTGGTGCATGGAAACATATCAGCCACGGCGGAACAGTCGGCTGGCGACAAGACCTCTCGCAGTTGCTTTTGCAGGGCGGGTTTGTAGGAGCGCTCAATTTCCTGCATACCAGAGGTGTCGGACCCGACACCATCTATGTCTTGTATCAGGGAGCATATATCAAGAGGTGTTCTTGCAGCCAGTAAGCGTCCTGCATCCAGTTGGGGCAGACCGTGTCTCTTCAGCTCCGAAGCTATGCGTATCGATGAAATTGAGTCCAGACCAAGTGCTGGGAGCGAGGACTTTGGCTGAGCGTTGACTCTGAGGACAGCTTTGATCGATGCCAAGACGCGATCGACATGAGGAATGTCTATTGATGCGCTTGATGCAGTTGAATTCTGTTGCTCTTCATAACGCGCACGGAGCGCTTTTCGGTCGCATTTCCCTGAGGCCAGATACGGCAAGGAGTTCAAAATGACGACGTCGCCAGGGATCATGAATGCGGGAAGCCATTCTCGGCATGTCTGGAAGACGTCGCTTGGTGTGAGAGATGCATTGACACTGACGCAGAAAGCCACCAGAATACCACCAATGACCTCCGCTACCACATCTCGGCAGCCGGGTGTCTTGAAAACAGCATGCTCGATCTCTCCAAGCTCAATTCTTTGCCCACGGAGTTTCACCTGTCCAGTAGATATGCGTCCCAGGCATTCAAAAGTTCCATTGGGTAGCATGCGAGCACGATCTCCCGTCCGATATAGAATGCCGTGCTGAGGGTGTCGCACAAATGCTGCTTTCGTCTGGTCATCACGGTTGAGGTAACCGTCTGCTAGCTGATGGCCACCGAGTGCGAGTTCGCCCTCTTCGCCCAGCGGCAAGATCTCTGGAATGGGAATCTGTTTACTTTCCCGGCCTTGGACTGGCCTTACAATGAACGCAGAGACTGTGTCGAGCGGAAGGCCGATCGAAGCACAAGGCAGAGATTTGGGAAAGTTGGTGTGCAAGGTGCAGTGGATGGTGGCCTCTGTGGGACCATACATGCCGTGTAATACAGCGTGCTGAGCACTGTCTCCACCAAATTCTTCGACGACGGAGGGTTTGAGCATCTCTCCAATCGTAAGCAGCACTTTGAGTGATGGGACACTTTTCCGACCTTGTAATAAGCTGCTCGCTACTGACGGCGTGAGCTCGCAGGCGTCCACTCGGAGACGGTTGATGACGGCCGTCAAGTCATTCAGCATGCTCCGGCGATCACAGCTCACGAGAGTGGCTTCTCGTGACCACGGAAAGAAGATCTCGAAGACGGATACATCGAATGTCGGGCTAGCAAACTGAAGGAATCGTCGAAAAGGTGGGATGTGAGGACGGTGAGCAAGCAATGCCTGGGTGGCTGCTGAATGCGACAGAAGCACTCCCTTGGGCTGGCCGGTGCTGCCACTTGTATACATGATGTAGGCCGGGTCTTCTGGCAAGACGGGGTGATCTATATTGTTGGGCGGATGGTGTCGAGGAAGTTCATCAACGGAGAGGATTTCGATGCCTGGAATGTCAGGCAAGCGATGCCTCGAAGCGGCGGTGGTGAGCAGGATACAGGCATGGACATCGTTCAGGATGAATCGAAGGCGCTCTTCTGGCGCGTCTAACACGATGGGACAAAACGCTCCTCCCGCCTTTAGAATGGCCAAGTGCGAAACGTAGAGATGGGGTCCTTGGGGGATCAATGTCGGGACAATCAATCGATTTCTCTTGGCCGTCGAATGCTGAATGGTGGATCGGATCCAGTGGGAGAGAGAATCGGCTTTGTCGTGAAGTTCGGCATAGGTGAGTGTGACGGAAGATCCGTGCTCCGTGGTATGGTCGATGGCGGGCACATGGTTCTTGCTGTGGCGTGGAACAAGATGGTGGAGGAGCTGCGGGCCTGGAAGTTTTCGCGGAGTCGCGTTGCTGATGGAGAGTGCCACGGCCATTTCTGGCGGTCGTCGTGGTCGTGGTCGTGTCGTGGTCGTTCCACGTCACGCTCACGCTCACGGCAGGATGTGAGGGAGATGGTAGATGTGCGTGAGTGCAGATGAGGTGAGCATGGTGGGTGAAGCGCGAGTCAGGTGTTTTATGCTCGCCCACGGCATTTCTCGAGCGATAGAGCTATTCTCCAGCGTCGTGCTGACTGTCAAGACTCGTACGGAGATCGATGCCACCTTCCTCCCACACACATCATGGCCATCGTTCCTGCTCGTTCTAGTTCTAGCGTGATGGCGCGGCCCGCTCGCCCGCCAACCCTTGCTTTGCTGTGCTCCCGCCTGCGACGTCGCTGCCCGGCTCGCGAGCACAAATTTATCGGAACGTCTCCGTCACGTTGCACTCCGCAAGAAACGTCGCCGGGAGATAAACAGCACCACCTGGCATCGGAAAGTAGGGATCTGATTAGATGCAACGCAGCCAAGAAGCACGGTGTCGGGAAGGAAGGATCTGATTAGATGCATACAGCCAAGAGGCACGGTGTCGGAAAGTAGGGATCTGATTAGATGCATACAGCCAAGAAGCACGGCGTCGGGAAGGAAGGATCTGATTAGATGCAATGCAGCCAAGAAGCACGGTGTCGGGAAGAAAGGATCTGATTAGATGCAATGCAGCCACGAAGCACGGCGTCGGGAAGGAAGGATCTGATTAGATGCCAGAGTGTAAGTTGGCGCCGAGTCGGGCCGCGTCACAGTTCACTGCATCTCATCTACTGCTCACTGACTACTGTACACGCATCACTGGCCCGAGGTCTCCTCCAAAGTTCTGCCGAGCGGGCAAATGAGGGAGAAGTGCGCGGGCCCGTCAGACCGCGGTGCGGTGAGTAGTAGAAGCAGTGTGACGGAGCATGGAGGACACAAGTGCTCGCCAGAAGACGTTTGCTGGCACCGCACCGCACCGCGACCGGCCACAATGCTGCTGGGTCACACGCCACGCCGCTTCTTCGCCCTGGCCATGCAAGAATCTCAAATGCCACCGATGTTGTTGGACGCCGCAGTCCGCAGTCCACCACCCTCACTTGCCTCCGAAAGGCGATGCCCTCCGAGAAGCCTCGTCCACGCAGCATGTCTGTCGATGCCGCACCGCCTCTGCATCGACCACCCTCCAGAACTCGACCACTCGTCACATCAGAACCTCTCCCCGACACCAATGATGCTCTCACTCCCGCCAGCCCCAGGATATGGCGAACGTGGGCAACGGCCTTCAACGGCACACTTCGCCATCACCGCACATACCTCAGCCTTTACGCCCCGCTGGAGTCGCTCGAGGAAAAGACAATCGCGCTCGCCAGCGCTGTGCTCGCCGTCATAGCAGGGGCGCCGCTCCCGTAAGCATGCCGTATTCGCCGCCTCTCTCATTGCACTCGCTGATGCTCCACATGCGACAGCATCATCGGCTACATCTTCTCGCGCATCATCAACGAATTCCCGCCATCAGAACAGGCCTTGCACGAACGCCTGGTGCAGCTTCTTGGCGTTGCAGCGGGCTATTTGGTCATTACCGCCTTGTACATGCTCGGCTTTGGCCTCACCTCCGAAAATGTCTCCATCAAGCTGCGCCAGCGACTGCTGGATTGCCTCCTTCACCTGGACCAGGCATATCTCGATACCCATCATGTGGATGTCAGTGGAATGCTGACCGACAAAATGGACACCATCCAATCCGGCTGCTCGGAAAAGGTGGGCATTTTCATTCAGGCCATTTCTTACTTTGTCTGTGCATTCATCGTCGCCTTCATTCTCGATGCAAAGCTTGCCGGCATCCTGCTGGCATCAGTCGTACCCGCAATCGCGCTCAGCTTTGCCATCCTTTCACCCCTCGTGTCGAAGCAGAGTCGAAAGCTCGCCCGACAGAATGAGGAGGCAAGTAGCGTCGTTGAGAGCGCTCTCGGTGCGGTGAAAGTTGTGCAAGCCTTTGATATGATCGGGGAGCTGTGCAGCAGACACATGGAATGCTTGCGAGTGTCGGCACAGACGAACGTGAAAAGGTCGATCCTGGCGGCAGTGCAGGCCGGCGCCGTCTACTTCATTGCATACTCCGCAAACGCACTGGCATTCTTTCTGGGAAGCCGTAGCACCACTCCAGGCAACTCGGGCACCGTCTATGCGGTCGTCTTTATTATTCTGGATGCATCATTCGTCGTTGGACAATTTGCCCCATTTCTCGACATCTTCGCTCGAGCAGCATCGGCAAACGCCGCCATTCAACATCTCCTGAACGTGCGCAGCGATCCTGAGCGCTGCATCACATACCGCAAGACACACTATAAGCCCGATGTGGCAGGCCGCGATATCGTCATGAAAGACATTGTCTTCTCCTATCCCGCTCGACCATCCGTCCAGATTCTGAGAAATCTCGACCTGACGTTCCGGGCGGGAACATTTACTGCTGTCGTCGGCACGTCGGGAGGGGGCAAGTCGACACTTGTGGCACTGCTTCTGGGCATTTATGACTACTCCGGCAAAATTGAATTCGGACATGACGATGCTCGGCTCATCGATCCAAGGCATTTGCGTTCGCAAATTGCAATTCTAGAGCAGGACTCGATTCTATTCTCCGGTACCATCTTTGACAACGTCTGTCACGGAATCGTTGGTCACGACCTATCTCACGAGGAGAAAGCTGCGCGATGCTCTGAAGCCTTGAGGGCGGCCAATGTCGACTTCCTCGGGCAGCTGCCGAAAGGCGTGCATACCGAACTCGGAAACGAGATTGAGCTCTCTGGAGGTCAGCGCCAACGAGTGTGTCTTGCGCGCGCTTTGATCAAGCGTCCCTCATTCCTCATTCTCGACGAGCCCACCAGCGCATTGGATGCCAGGAACGAATTGGCCGTCATGGATGCTGTCAAGCGCGTAGCAGCGAGTGGCACCACAGTCGTGATGATTGCCCACCGCCTATCAACTACCTTGGACGCAGACCATATCATTGTGATGAGTGACGGCAATGTTGTTGAACAAGGTACTCCGCGCGATTTGTCGCACGAAGGCACCGTCTTTCGTGGACTGCTGGATGCGCAGAAGACAGAGTTCAGTGGCGACGAAGACCAAGCTGAACATGCCAATCAGCTTTCTCTCGAGCACACAAAATCGAACAGGTCCGGTGCAACAGCAATGGGGTCCGATACAATTGCGGCCAACGAGGCTGTGGAACCCCAGCGGATCGCAAATCACAGCCTCTGGATCCTGTGTAAACGCATAAGCTCAATCGTCAAACCAGAGGCGTGCATCGTTCTATTGGGTCTTTTCGCGTCCGCCGCAAGCGGTGGGATATTGTTGGGGCAAGCACTAATCTTCGGCAACCTTATATCGGTGAGTATATGGACACGCCACGCCCTCCTCTCCAGCGCACTGCTAACACATTCGCCCAGCTTTTGAATGGTGGCATGACCCGAAGCTCTTACTACAGCACCGCTGACTTCTACTGCTTGATGTTCTTCATCCTGTCTCTCATTGCGCTCATCGCATATACAACAAGTGGGACTTTCTTTGGCATCACTTCCCATCGCATGACGACCAGGATCCAAACTCAGCTACTATACAAGACCCTGCACCAAGACATGCAATGGTTCTCAGCGAAGAGCCGCTCAGTGCAAGCTCTAACATCGTCCTTCGCGAAAGATTCTGGTGATCTCTCAGCGCTTGGTGGAGTTGCACTCGGAGCAATATTTACGATTATTGTCTCGGTGTTGGGCGGCATCATCCTGGCATTGTGCATCGCCTGGAAAATCGCGATAGTCTTGCTGGTTGCGGTACCCATCATGCTGCTTTCTGGGTGGTCCAGGCTTCGACTCCTGACTGCATCGGAGATGCAGCATCGAGAAGCTTACACCGAAGCCACGAGCCTTGCAGCGGAGTCCTGTCGACACCGCCGTACGGTGACTGCTCTCTGCCTCGAGAATTATGCCCTCGACGACTATCGACGCTCGCTCGAAGCCCCCTTCCGCAAGATTCGTCTCTACGTCTACTCCTGTAACACTCTTCTGGCATTTTCGTTTTCCATCACATATTTTGTGTACGCATTGGCATACTGGTGGTGCGTACCTAATCCTGTCGCCGAACGTTGTCTTCTACCTTTGCGATACTGATTGATACTCCTGGCAGGGGCGCGAGACAGGTAAGAAATGGATCCTACACATCGACAGATTTTTTCATCGTTCTCCCGGCGCTACTCTTCTCCGCGCAATCCGCCGCACAGTTCTTTGCACTCAGCCCCGAGGTGGCTCGAGCCAAAACAGCTGCTCGCAATGTCTTCACTTTGCTGGATGCAAACCCTAACATCATGCGTCCTTCCACACACGACGCAGTCTCCGTTATGAGCTCCACGACACACTCACTCGACAAGGTCAATGGTGGCGAGAAGGGCTCAACCAGAGACGCACCGAGTGATCAACCACCAAAGCTGGAATTCCGCAATGTGACTCTCTCATATCCAAACGGTTCCCGGCCAGCGCTTCAAGATGTGTCGCTGGAAGTACCTCGGGGTCACACGTTTGCTTTCGTCGGACCCTCGGGGGCGGGCAAAACTTCTGCCATGGCGATGATTGAGCGATTCTTTGACCCCACAGAGGGTAGCGTCCTGTTCGACGGCATTGATTTGCGTGATATGGACGTCAAAACCTTGCGAAGCCATATGGGGCTCGTGTCACAAGATGCAGACCTGTTCAGCGGGTCAATACTCTACAACATCAAGCTCGGTGCTCCGTGTGGAGGCTTGGTGTCGGACGATGAAGTGCATCAAGCATGCAAGAAGTGCGGACTACACGACTTCATCATCAGTCTACCCGATGGCTACAACACTGAGTGCGGCAGCAACACCTCGTCGCGACTCAGTGGCGGACAGAAACAGCGTCTGGCCATCGCCCGAGCTCTGGTCCGCAACCCCGAGGTTTTGCTTTTAGATGAACCCACAGCATCTCTAGATGCTCATAGCGAGGCTCATGTCCAGGCCGCACTGGCAGAAGCAGCCAAAGGTCGCACGACCGTCATTGTGGCTCACCGACTGGCGAGCATACAACACGCCGACTGCATTTGCGTTTTCGATGGCGGCAGGGTGGTCGCCCAAGGCACGCACTCGGAACTGGTCGCTCAAGGCGGGTTGTACGCTAGTATGGCCAAGGCCCAATCTCTTGCTTGAAATGAATAGAATCATCATCCAATTTATCAGCATGCATGGGTCACGCGTACGTCCACGAAATCGTTCCATCATCAACAACAGAAACTTTCTTTCTGCATTCGTAATAAGTTCGTTCTTGCACCGAGGACGCTGATGGTTGGGATTGAACCTGCCCTGCATTAGGCATACCTACCGAGAAGACTCCAGCTTCCATGTGAAATTTCCTACCGTCCGTCTCTTCTGCCGGCGTGGTGGAGTTGTTGTTACCTAAAGCGACGAGCTAACTAGCAGGTGGCTGTTTAATCAAAAAAAAAAAGATGAGAATTTTTTTTGGGGGCATGTCGGACCACACCGGCGCAGCTCACATCTATTAATCCAATCCCCTACACGGTCTCGGATCAGATAAATAGCCGAACTGTATCTAGACCGCAGCTGCATGCATGCACAAGCGCACGAAGCTAAAAGTCTCCACTCGGCCAGTGTACGAAAGCTCTGATACGGCGTACTACGTCACGGCATATGAAAATTCTCTCTCGTTGAACTTGACTACTGTACTTCTCGGATCTGATCTGATTAGATTATAAGTACCAATTTTGGAGATCATGTCCGTTGCGTGGGTGTGACTGCGTGACGACACGACTTATGCCATGCCACGCTCCGTTGAGTTGGACTACACGCGGGCGCCGATTTCGGGTTCTACTCACTAGTTCTTTCTTTCTACCCTTACACTTGCCCGTAGCACCGATGAACAAACGATCTTTGAACGACTAGGTCGGCCTTTGCTTTCCTTGGTATCTTACAAGAACCAGTTTGTCTTGTTTTGCCTTTTTTTTTGAGAGAGAGAATAGTGGGACACTTTTCCACTAACTAGTTCTATACCTACTGCCTACCTTCCTCCCATCTCTGTGTTAAAAAAAAAAAGAAAGATTCAACTCCTACATTTTTTTTTGTTTTCTTCTTCAAAAGCTTTCCAATCCATTCAATTGTTTGCCACCCACCCACCCACCCACATCAACAACCCTCCCTCCCTTCACATCACAATCCCGCCTTACCACTAGAATACCATGTCACCACACGCCCTCTCCTCCGAAATCTCCTCCTCCTCCTACTCCCCCTCCATAACCTCCACAACCCCAACCTCCCCCTCCGAAATCCCAACCCTACTCCACCACGACAACACCACCACCCAAAAATCCCACCTCCACCGCTTCCCCTCCTCAGAACTCCAAGACCTAGTCTGCATCGGTTTCGGCCCCGCCTCCCTCTCAATCGCCATCGCCCTCCACGACAAATTCGAATCCTCCTCCTCCTCCCCCCAACACGCTCCTCCCCGCGTCAGGTTTCTCGAAAAACAAGAGACCTTCGCATGGCACGCGGGCATGCTCCTCCCAGGCGCCAAAATGCAAATCACATTCCTCAAAGACCTGGCCACGCTCCGGGATCCGCGGAGTGAATTTACGTTTCTGAATTATCTGCGGGAGAAAGGGCGGCTGGTGGCGTTTACGAATTTGGGGAGTTTTTTGCCGTTGAGGCGGGAGTATGAGGATTATATGCGATGGTGTGCGGGGAGGTTTGGGGAGGTGGTGGATTATGGGCAGAGGGGGGAAGGGGTGGAGGTTGGCGGGGTGAATGCGGAGACGGGGGAGGTGCAGGATTTTCGGGTGGTTTCGGTGGATGTCAGGACGCGGGAGCGGAGGGTTTTAAGGGCGAAACATGTTGTGATTGCGGCGGGGGGGAGGCCGAATTTTTTGGAGTGTTTGCCGGAGAAGCATCCGAGGGTTCTGCATTCGTCGCAGTATGCCACGCATGTTCACAAGGTCTTTCCGGACGGGACCAGGCCGAGGAGAGTTGCGGTTATTGGTGGTGGGCAAAGTGCTGCTGAATGCTGGCATGATGTCCCATCGCGGTTCCCAGGCTCACAGTCAGTGTTGTTGATTCGGGGAGCTGCTCTCAAGCCAAGTGATGATTCTCCATTGTGAGTTGGATCTCTCATTCTTCATCTTCCTAACCAGTACATCTTGCTTACATACTACAGCGTCAACGAAGTCTTCAACCCCGACAAAGTCGACGACGTATTCTCTCAAGACCCTCAAGTGCGCGCTGCTATGCTCGCCCTCGACAAAGCCACCAACTACGGTGTCGTGCGAATCGAATTGCTCGAGCAGATCTATGCCGAGATGTACTCGTACCAACTCCAGCATCAAAGCGAAGAGGATTGGCCGCATCGGATCAAGAACTTCCGAGAAGTCACCGGCATGCGCGATGTCATGGACAACGGAAACCAAGCCATCGAACTGCAGATCCAGAACAACTCCGGAAAGTACTGCGCCAACAAGCCGAGCTGTACAGAGACTATGGTTGTCGATCTCGTGGTTGTTGCCAGCGGGTATAAGAGAGATTCTCATGAGGAGATGTTATTTGGGCTCCGCGATCTCATGCCCGGGGGAAATATTGAAGGACAGAAGTGGACCGTCAAGCGTGACTACTCGGTGGAGTTTGCACCTGGGACTGTGCAATCTGATGCTGGTGTGTGGCTGCAGGGCTGCAATGAGAAGACACACGGTCTTTCCGATACGTTGCTTTCGATTCTTGCGGTGAGAGGGGGAGAAATGGTTGAGAATATTTTTGGATACTCGTCAGAGGCGCAGACGAAGCATATGATGGAGAGTTCGGTGGAGATGATGGGTGAGTTGGATGGGGAGAGTATTCGTCGGCAGGAGTTAGGAATGGGAGGATGAATGCTGTGAGCATAGTGGGATGGCGTGCTGGACAGGACTTGTTGAGGATGCACAGTCGCGGCAACACGGATTCCAGCCGGGCGTTTGAGGAGCAGAGCTGGTGATGGCAAAATGCGTCTATCTTGTTCACAAGATCTCACGATTCAAGCACATCGGCGAGTACTGTATGACATTCCATCTACGCTTCTTGGATGGTTTCTTGAGTCAGCGTGCAAATGCGGATCTCTCAGCACGTGAATGCGCTCGATCATCGACTTCATCATCGACTTGGTGCGGTGTGGTCCTTCACATGGCGTGGCATCTGTGAAGAATGTTTGCTTGCCCCACTCCGCGCCCCGTGCGTCGGCGAAATTTCTCAGCTCGTTCTTGAAACATCCCCTAAACGAAGGCCGTAGTTAAGTCCGTCGAACACCTACCCTGGCTCTGCCCTTGTCGGGTTCCACTTCTGATGCTAAATGTAGTGTGGCCCTATATAAACCTGTATCGCCCCTCGAATAGCGAAGTTGTCCGATTAGGTCTCGGATTTAGCCGTAGTAGAGCTTAGGGTTAAGAAGCCGATACCTTTACGAGTCGTCCCCTAGTAAAGGTTTTATAGCAAACCTTAGCAAGTAAAGGTATAGAAGAAGGTATAGAAGAAGGCATATAATAGAGGCGCTAAGTACGCTACCGAGATAGGTACGTAGACAATAGACCGTAGATTAAGACCTTCTAATAACTAATAACTAATTAGCTACTAACAACCGAGTCTCGGCTGTCTCGTATACGCCGTCGACTAAGTCGCTATAAGCTTAGTAAAGAGACTATTTAAGCCCTTCTCGAGCCGCCGAGTCTACTTAAGAAGTAGTTTAATATTAGTCCGCTTACCGCGAAGGTAAACCTTCTTATAGAGGCAGTAAGGGACTTGCGAGTAGACGTAAACCTTCTACTAAAGAAGGAGGTTATAGAGTCGTAGGTAACTACTTAGTCCGCCGAAGAAGAAGGCTCTCGAAGTAAGGTAATAGTCGTTAAGAGGGCGGAGTTTAAAGAACTATAGCTCTAGGTTGTCCGATTAAGTAATGCTATTACCGTAGTTGTAAAGCAGTAGAGTAAGCTAAATGCCGCTTATAAGAGCAATATACGGTTAATAGGGAGGTATATAGACCGCTAGCGGTCGAAGGCTTAGGTTTTAGGCCTTCGATAAAGGCATATAGATTAGGCTCCGAGTGCTATATCCTCTCGCATAGGTTATAGATAGCTATAGGTCTATAATAGCGACAACACTATATAGTCTGATTCTCCTAGCGCTTCTTAATAGGCTATGTCTTATTAATAGGCTACTATTTAAATCCCTAAGTAGTGCGGATATACTTATAAAGGAAGTAGCGGCTCTACGGAAGAGTATAATCGAGTATATAGACTGCGTTGCCTCTACGCTAGAGACGCCGTGCCTCTTCGGCTATAGGTAGAGAGTCTCCTTTCCTAATTTTATAGCGACGAGATCTACGGCTCCTACTATTATATAAGTAACTTGCGACGAAGCGGCCTCCTATACGGGGAATCGGAGGTAAAGGCGTACGAAGTGCGCGTATAGCGGCCTCTATAGCCTCTACCTAATTAATCTCTTCCTAACCGTCTATTACTATTTGCTACGCTAGTATTACGCGGAAGGCTCTTTACTAAGTAAATTGTTAGTTATTAGACTACTTCTTATTACCTCGAAGAAGGATAAAGGCGTTAATAACTGCGGCGTCTAGTAGGAAGTAGAATAGTAGGTACTAACCCTTCCGTAACTTGTATTATATCGAGTAGTAAAAGCGCAGTTAGTCGTAGATATCTACGCTACCTATATAGTCGTTATATAGGGTAGCGACCTCTAGTAGAGACTTCTCTTCCTTACTATTAGTTTTCTAGTAAGGGCGGACGTACTTATCGATATAAGCGTTATTGCTAGCGCGAGGGTAAGCCCGAAGGCGGAGTATTCGTTCGAATAGGCGGCAACCCGTCGTAAGGAATTGAACTAGGTTTCTATCCTACTAGATTACTACCGCTACGTTGTAAATTACCTTATAAAGCAGTGTATCGTAGGGAAATCGAGTGCTCTTGCGATTAAGCGCTAGGAAGGTTGAATTCTTCCTTATACTATTTTTTTTCAAAGTCCCTAGTTTTTCGAAGGTAGTACCTCGCTACGGCTACGAAAGCGACCTAGATCGTACCGTTCTAGTCGCCGCAATACCTAAATGCCGCAGAATAGCAAATAATAGTATATTGTTAAACAGGTTATCTATAAAAATATAGAAGAAGTATTATTAGAAAGGAAGTTAAAGAATTAGTCGAAGAATAGCCTACCGGAGAGGGCTTAGCCTAGCGCTTAGCGAGACGGTAGGCGATACGATTAGGCTTTCGGTTAGCTCGGATAAGCGGTCCGCGCGGGCCGCTCTAGTATAACTATCCTAATTTACAACCCTTATTAAATATAATCCTATGTTCTTACTATAACTAACACCTCCTAGACCTCGAGACTTACGCTTACGGCGCTTCTTATTACTCTCTTTATTGCGCTCCTTCTTCTTAGCGTCCGTAAGAACCTCTAAAGCTACTACCGGGTACCGAGCGACCGTCGTAGCGATAGAATCCGGATCTTCTACCTCCTATTTGAATGCCTTCCGTAGGCTCGAGAACAAGAAGGAATATAGGTACCTATCCTTATATAGATAAAGGATATAGTATCCGATCGGTGTCGGCTTACCTCGCATTATAATTATATACCTAGATTTACTAGTAAACCGGACTATACTCTCGTTAATCGATACGTATATACCTAGCACGATAACCTCGCGGAATTTGCTATATAGAATGTTAGCAAGCGGCAGTATCTAGGTCTAGGTAGGTAAGCCTTTTCTACTTAACGAGAGCGCGTTATTACGGCACTATAGAGCAGCCTTAATCTATTTAAACCGCTACTCCTTTATATATTTAGCGATACTATGCCTTAGCTAGTATCTATCTTTACGCTAATAATCGCTCTTATCGGACATCTAGATTGCGGATATATAAATAATTAATCCTATAAAGATCTTTGTCGTTAGCTTATCTACCGGCTTCTGCTAATAGCTAGATATAATAGTCTTGTCGCCCTTCTTAAAGTCCGGTTTGTCTCGCGTATACTTATTCGTATACTTAATAAGGCGCTCTATTACCTCGTCGGTCTAGAAGAGCTTAAAGAAGTAATATTAGACGTTATCGATAGCCTCGAGATCGCTATATAAGTAAGTAGGCAAGTTAACCTATCGCTAGTAAGAGATGCCTCGTAACGGCTCGTAACGACTATCTATTCCTTGTCCGGCTAGTAGATAGCACAATCCGCCTACCCTACTATCTACCCCTAAATCCTCGATCTCGTCGTCTCCTTCTACGACCTCGAAGGTCTTACTATCTACGCCGCTTAGTATAGGCTCTCCGGCCTTCTTAAATATCGGCTCTCTTCCTCTAGTTAGCTAATTAGTATTTAGCTTATCGTCGTTTATTAGACTAGTAGATATATCTAGCTAATTATTACCTTTATCGTCGTTATAACTATCTTCTACGAAGGCCTAAAAGCTCGCTATTGTTATATACTTCTTAGCAGAATTGAGTTTGGAAATATAAAGGCAATTAAGTCGTATATACGGAGCGATAGCGGCGGCAACCGCTAAGCGCTAGAAGAGGTTTAACGTACTTATAAACGAGTCTAATTAAGGCCTATTTATTTACCTGCAAGGCAATACAGGCGGCCTTAGAATAGCTAACTAATAACTACTAGCAAGGGCAGCCCCTAGTTATGCCGATAAACGCCGTCAACGTACGAATATTTACAGGGGATAGAACGCTGGCATCGGCCAAAGACCCGAGATAAGATAAGATCTCCCCACGGCGGAGCTTCTGCTTCTGCCTCTGCCTCGTCTCGTCTTCCATGCGCGTGGGAGCTGTCATCATGATGCGGTGGGCGAGTGGGATGAGGTGTTGTTGATGGAAGAAAGGGTGGTAGCGAACAGCCATGCCAGGAATGTTAGTCATCATTGCGTGCGATGTCTCCTTGCGACGCCTACCTACCTATACATCGCTCCTGACTATTCGAAATGCTATTTCTGTGAGGCCTGAGCGTAAGCATTTACGCACGCTTCATCGATGATGTTGGCCACTACACCCTCGTCGAAAACAATACGGCAGATGGCTACCGCTCTGCATCTCGCTTCTTATGTCGACGACCTCTCGCTCGCTTGTCCTCACGGTAACCACCTGGGAGTAGTTGCTGACGACTTTCGACCCATTCTGTACAATTCGAGCGTATACTTAGCATAAGCGAGCCGGGGCCTTTAGAGCCTCCAAGGTCCGTCCAACGTTACAGCAGTACATCTGGCGTTGCACCAATAATGAGAACCGATGTCGTTCCTGAAGGCGTGCTGGGCCCCCGCGACATCGACGAAATTGGAGCTTTGCTGGTAATATATTTTGCCGGGAGACATGCACCACACCACGCTGCAGTAAGCAGAAACCCCTCCTCCGTGATTTGCTACAGCGGCAGCGGCAAAACGACCAGCCCCCGGGGCGAAAAAGCACAACACAAATCCATCTCACTTGAACAATACAGCCACCATGATGCGTGCAACCGTCGCTTCTGCCGGCATATAGGCCTTCGTGGAGCAGGCTGCAGCTGAAGCATCCATCGCCTTGCTCATGCAAATCCCGAGCTCGCTTATACGCCGCACTCGCTATACCTCACCACCTGCTGTCTTGCCGTTCAACGTCGCCTACAACGCGTCGTGCTTGTCCGTATCATGACACTCGCGACTCGCCCTCAACTCTCCTCCTGCGCTCCCACAGGCCAGCACAGCCCGTGCGCTGGCTGAGACGGAGTTATTTCAGCATATTCGGGACCCGACACATCCCGCGCATCACGGCTTGCTCCACGAACCTTCCTACGGACTGAAGGCCTTCGCAATCCGTACCGCATCACCGAAACATATATACCAGTCTACCTTCATTCCGGGACCCTGAGTTACGCACCGTTACCGACCCTCCAACCCCTCAGCCGCTTGAGCTCGGAGATGGCTGCTACCACTGCAGCACTCGATACAGCAGAGCTGCTGGAACTTATCCTCCTCAATCTTGACACGAGGACATTATTACTATCCCAACGAGTCGACAGACGCTGGCACCATACCATCCGAAACAGCAAATCCCTCCAGAAGAAACTTTTCCTGCTTCCAACCAACTCTTTCGAAGAGATACTGGACCTCGGCCTCCTCGATGAGTCCCGAGCCGAGAAATATAACATTCTTGACGCCACTTCCAATCGAAGCAAATGGTTGGAGCAGGTCGTGATCCTCAATGATCTCCTCTTCGACACGACCCGGGAATGGAAGTTGAGGAATTGCGCTTTCGCCGACCCTAACAGAAGGTCGGGCAAGTTCATTCCATCATGGCAGAGGATGCTCCTCACTCAGCCTCCACCTAGCACTGGTCGAGGCGATGTCATGTTCTGGTTCGAAGACGCTCACGATAACGACGAGCTTTGCGAGAACGTCAACACAATGGGTGAGCAAACCACTCAAGTCTCAACAAAAACGCCCGCCCGCCTGCTAACACTTCCAATTCATCATCAGGCGACATGATGCAAACCGTCTACGTCAAAGAATCCAGTCTCGACAACTTCAACGTCCATTGGGATTCTGCTGCAGTGCGTCCTGTCAAACATGCCGTCGACGGGAAATACTACATGAAACTCCGCCTCCAACGCGAGAAAGATGGCTCCTCGTCAAAAAGTCGCGCTGTCAGTATGGGTATCACCGTCGTTAGATCTATCGAATTATCTGATGACAACACTGTTGTCCATGACTCAGATCCATATCTGAGCTACGAACCTTCCGAGCGAGGGGGAGGAGGGATTGACGAGGTCGGATGGCCTGATGAGGGTGAGGAGTTTGCGAATTTGTGAACTCATTCTCAGGCCATGACCATATATATCTTGGTGAGAAAACAAATGTGTAACGACATGATTATGAATTGATGTTTTTTTTTTGCTTTTTCGCAAATGGCGTGGCGTTAGGAATACCCCCCCCCCCCCCCAAAAAAAAACTTTGTCTATTCTTTGCTTCAGGCATGGGAGGAGTAGGGAGTCTGGGATAGCGGTCACACGCATGCAGTCTTCAATTTTCCCGTCGACCCATTCATTACACATAGCTCCTTCACATGAACTTTTGAATTCCCAAAAAATCGTCATGAACATACAATCCATTCTGCGCAGCACCCAAACACCACCACCTCCCACTCCCACTCCCATCACCGCCTCCAACTCCTCAAACACCCCTCCAACTCCAAACTCCTCTCGCCCATAATCCCACTCAATCCCAACAACCCGTACGGCGAAACGTAAAACTCTCGTCGTCGTTGTGTAGGCGGGACTCCACTTCTAGGACTTGTACTTGTAGAAGGACGGTCAGGAGGGTCGGAGAAGTTTACGGATTTTTGGGTCGAGTTGGAGACGACAGATGATGTAGAAGAAGAGAGGGACATTGATGTTGGAAGTGAAGTGTTGGGTGGTGGTGGAGTTCCAGATCGATCGGTTCGGTATGAGGATTTGGGGAGGTGGCATATGGCCCAGGAACCGAAGAGGGACATTTTTTGATGGATGGGGTGGTTGGGTTTGGAATGAGGCTGAGGTTGAGTGAGGTTGGGCAATGATCTTTAGACTCTGCTTGTTTGCAAGTCGAGTGGGTGAGTGAGTGAATGAGTGGGTTTGATCTAATCAATCAATCGGTCAGCGAGGCAGAGCGGGAGAGGGGCAACTCTCTCATTTCACTGTCACGAGAGGGAAAAGAGGAGTAGAGTTACATCAGATAAATGTTGCAGGTAATAACAAAGATCATGTGCGGTACCATTGGCGGAGTTCTGGGGTCAAAGGATGGAAAGCGTGGGTGCATGTAGCCTTTTCGGTGATCCTGCAGCGGCTGTTCAAAAATCCCTGACGGACTCGCGTATGATAAGCGTCGCATGTACACACCTCTACTTACCAGTGCCATCCTGGCTTGCTTTCTGTCACCGTGGACCAATATTCTATTCTGGTGGTCAGATTTCGGTCATAGCTCGGTTGTTTTCACGTCAGCAGTTTTGAGACTATGCTCATTGGTTGCTGTGTAGAAAGTGTTCTTACATGCTCAAACACCGCGAGCTTTGATCTAAACACTACACAGGTCTAATAGTTGTAGAAGCCCTTGCCAGACTTCTTGCCCAGCCAGCCAGCATCGACCATCTGTCTCAGTCGAACAGAAGGCCTGTACTTGCTGTCTCCCAGCTGGGTGTGTAGCACCTCCATGATCGAAAGGCAGGTATCCAAACCAATGAAGTCCGCTAGCTGCAGTGGGCCCATGGGCACGTTCGTGCCATTCCTCATGATATCGTCAATGCTCTTTTCGTCGCCGACACCGGTCTCTAGACAGATGATGGCCTCGTTAATATAGGGCATTAATATGCGATTCGCGAGGAAGCCTGGCGTATCCGCGGAAGTTGAAGGCACTTTACCCATGCGCTTGCAGAACTCTACAGCGGTGGCCAGAGTTTCAGGCGAAGTTTGTAAGCCAGAAATGATCTCGACGCCTTTCTGTATCGGGACGGGATTCATGAAGTGGGTGCTGACGACTCGTGAAGGGGCACTGAGGTCGGTGGCATCCTATCAGAGAGCAGACAATTAGCATGACAAGATCAGATAAGACGGGAGAGGGGCCAGCATACCTTAGATGTGCTAGCCGCGATTTTGGTAATCGATATAGACGACGTGTTAGTGGCCAGAATGGCATGTTTCGGACATGTGGCAGCGAGCTGTGCAAAGATCTTGGTCTTGAGGTCAAGAATCTCGGGCACGGCTTCGATGACCATGTCGACTTGGCTCAAATCGTCCATGTTGGTCGAAGGGGTAAGTCTCCGTCGCGCGGAGTCGGCGTCGGATTGGCTGATCTTCTGCTTGTCGACATCCTTCTTGAGCAGTTTCTCCGCGAATGCGACGCCCTTGTCTAAGGATTGCTGAGAGTTATCGACCAGTGTGACGGGAACTCCTGCGGCCCTGGCGGCAACCAATGCAATGCCTAAGCCCTGTGCTCAAGGCTATGGTCAGTCAGCTGTATTAGCACTGCTGCCATAGGCTGCGAAGGTGTCGATAAAGACACACCATCTGGCCAGCACCGACCACACCCAGGCGATTGATGGCTGCGGCTTCCGCCAGCATGGATCGGGAGGATGAGAAGGCTCTGCGGCGCATGGGTATGGGCATGCATGGCGAGGAGCGGGAGCGGGAGCGGGATAGGGCGCGTCGGATGATCATGATGGCAATTGACTCCCCACGGACAAACAGGGACGAACAGGTACGAGGGGGGGAGATGGGAGGAAATTATTGGTGAGAGTGTATCAGATGGAAAGGTGAAGTCGCCGAAGAAACGCGCCAAGCGCAAAGCTGGAGCTTAGGCCGAGGGTACTCCAGGGGTGTGGGAGCGAGCAGAGCTCACAGTGATGACGATGAGACTGTGGTCATGAGAATTGCGGTATTTGCGATTGGCGCAGCGTGCCGCGATATGGGCCGGGCCTGCATCTGGCATCGTCAAGCAGGAGCAGCAGCTCCGGTACAGTACCTCTCATCAGTGTGTTGCGTTGTAGCATGGAGCACGGCACAGCAGCTTTGAGGGCGTCGAGCTGACTCAGCTTTCGGAGCCGCGGAGAAATGATCTGCCGTAGCGCGCGTCGAGCTACGCGTCAACGCGTCTTTCGTGCACAGTTTTGTATCGCAGCGAACACGCCAAAATAGCAATGGCCGACATATGGGAGCGCTCCCAGACGGTGGATCCAGAAGTGCGCGCATATGTCTCCTCACTGGTAAATGCGCTGGGAGGACGGTCGACCTACGATGACACTTATGCTGTGGGAGACGATGCGCTCGCTGTGCTGAAGGACGTGCAACGATGGCTACGACTGTACGACGAGAAGACGAACCGATTGGACGTGAAGAGAGTTTTGGCAGAGGCGAATCTGGTCAAGGGAGATTTGTTGGAGATTCTGTCGTTATGGCCCGACGATGCGCAGGACAACAAGCACAAGGCGAAGCTGGCATTGGCATGTTTGGAGCTGCTGGTGCCATTGACTTGGCCGCTTTCACTCGAGAGTGAAACCGCAACAGTCAATCACCACAGACATGTGCCATATCTACAGTTGGCGCAAGTGGCATACAAGAGATCTGTTCTGCACTTCGAATATGCCAAGATCTTGCGGACAGCAGTGCGTGTTGCGCTGCCAGCCATGGCCACTCCCAAGCGCGACAGGACCAGGAGAGATGAAGGTATCATCAAGCTGTGCTTATACTTCTTCCGGAACATCGCCATGATCACACAGCCACAACACCTTCCCTCGCAAGGAGACGAGAACGAGATCAGCCGATCAGCCGTCATTGAGGCATTCCAGGATCAGGACATCTTCAGTGTGCTGTTGACCATCGGCTCTAGCATGGGAGACGAATTTCAAGAGCAGGATGTCATTGTGCTGGAGATTTTATTCCATTTACTGAAAGGCGTAGACCCGCGCAAGCTGTTTATGAAGAAGGAGCAAGTCGCGACTGAGGAGACGTCAGAGCTGAAGAGCTTGCTGCAGAAAGAGAAAGCGATGCTGGACAGCTATAAGAGACATGCACCAACGCGGCATAATCGTTTCGGTACTATGATCTGGGTGCAGAGAGACGATGCGAAGCTTTCGACCGTGTCTGGCCAGACTAGCATGACCAACGAAGCAGATACCCTTCGCCACATGGACGCCAGCAAGAAATGGAACAAGCCACAGTATCGTGGGAAGCTCGCGCAAGAATTCGATGAGAATTCTGAATTCGGCATGCGAATAGATCTGACGGAGCCTAGTCGAAAGCACTTGAGAAAATTCGTCGAGGACTTCCTTGACTCCTCCTTCAATCCGCTCTTTAGCAGTCTGCGAAAAGCAATCGAGCGCGAAGCAGATCGAGTCCAGGAGAGCATGCATCACAAGCAGTACTTCTACCTTATGTCATGGTTTTTGAATGCCGAAGCTGCAAGGCGAGATCGGTCTAGGAGAGAAGGTGCCTGGAATGCAGACCGCGCAACTCAGACCAACCCAGAAGACAACACGTTCGCATACATCGCCGCTGTGCTTGATCAGGAGACCTTCGTCCTTCTCAACAGGCAGATGCAGACGGCATTCGACAATAAAAGCTGGCAGGACCTGCAAGCAACTCTGCTATGCTTCACCCAAATCCTGCTCACTGTTCAAAGCATGAGCGAGAGCAAGGACGACGAAGATCAGGAAATTGCAGAAAACATCCTACATCGCATTTTCTACGAGGAGTCAACCCATGACAGGATAGTGCAGATTTTACGAGGCTACACCCACCAAGGCTTTGCCTACCTTGATGCAGTCACAGAGTGCGTGCACGTCTTCATACGCATGTTGGAGCGATATAGCAAGCAAAATGTGGACTTACAAATACGCTCCAAGCGCCGCGCTCGAAAGAAGAAGCAACAGCAGGGCGGAGGCGGCGGCGACGATGCCGAGGACGCTGCTGAAGATGAACGAGAAGCGCATCGTTCAGTGTCAGAGCGCAAGTTCGACTTTGCGAAATTCGCTGCCAAGTTCCTCTCTCAGCCATGCGTGAACACATTCATTTCCTTCATCACCTACTACCGCGACTTGACACCGGTTCAGCTCAAGAGGGCGCATCGTTTCCTCTACCGACTAGCTTTCAAGCACGAGCTCGCGGTGCTACTCTTCCGAGCAGACATCCTCCAGCTCCTGCATAGGCTCATCAAGGGACCGGAAGGCCTTGATCCTGGCATGGAAGGCTTCAAGGACTGGGAGCAACTGGTTCAGCAGGTCTTCCGACGATGCATCAAATGGATCGAGAGGCCGACCGAAGGCGAAGGTTGGAGAGAAGCAGCGATCGTCGAGATGCTTTTCAGCAAAATCCCGAATACCATGTTCTATCTTCAGAACGGCTACGACAAAATTGTTGAGAAGCGGGCTCCACGCCCTCCAGCAGAGCTAGAGATGAAACCATCTGTGCCCGAAGACCAGCGCATCGGCATCGCAACAAGCATGCTGATCGAGCAGGCCAAGGCTGATGACCTCGAGTGGGTCAAGAAGCAACTTCAGGAGGCGGTCACTGAACGACAAGCTTGGGAAGACGAGCAAGCAGTCAGGTCAGGCATGATGGATGAAGACGAGAACGCCGTCGCGCCAGCTATCGAGAGACAGGCTCCCCCATCAATTTTCCTCCCTGCTGACACTGATGAGCGAAAGCTGGCACTTTTCAAAGACAAGCATCTACGACTTCTCCTTACGACTCTTGGTTGCCAAAGATTGGGTCTGGCTGAAGACACCGACGCCGCTTGGATAATACCGTCAAGTCTCACTGCTTCACAACTTAGCGAAGCTCTGAATCAGATCAAGAAAGCAGAGTTCGATCCTCCTTCGTTCGAAGATGAAAAGACCGCTGCAGACTTCATCCGATCCAAAGCGAAAGGGCGCACCACATTTGACGACAATGACAGCGATACTGATGCGTCCGGCAGTGGCGGGGAGATCAATGAAGAGCTATTTCCGCCCAACATCCGTGAGAAGCGCAAGGCTAGAGATGGCGATGATCGACCAAAGAAGAGACGAAAGCGGAACGCTATCGAGCGCACTGAGGAAGAGTTGGAAGAGAAGAGAGTTGCACGAGACAAGAAGGAACGTGAGAAGAACGCCAAGATCAAGTCAAAACTCTACATCACAGCATCAGACGATGAGAGTGACGCCGAAGCGGACGCCGAGTTCTTCAGACTCGAGGAAGAGAGACGAAAGAAGACTGACGGTGTTATTCGCAACATGCTCGTCAAGCACATGGAGCAAGCCGAAGACACAGCTGTTGAGGAAGTTGAGAAAGGACAGAAAGGGAGCAAGAAGAAAGTGGCGCCGAAAACTGCCGCCAAGAAAGCTGTCAAGAAGGCAAAAGCCAAGAAGAAGAAGCCGGACGATGGCGAAGATCAGATCATGATCGATGCCGGGGATGAGTCAAGTGAATCCAACAGCAGCAGTCGGCCAGCATCAAGAAGGACAGCGAGAAAGTCATCTCCAATCGAACTCTCCAACAACGACAAATCCTCCTCAGAGGCTGAAATTTCGGATGCGGAGAGTGAGAGACCTGCGAAGCGACAGCCCGTCAAGAGGAAGCCATTGTTTGACGAGGATAGTGATGAAGCTGACAACGGCAAGGAAACGCCTTCGACATCGCCACCTGCTGAACCACCATTGAAGGAAATGCCCGCAAATTCTGTCTCGAGAGGAGAGATTCACAGTGATGATGATGACGACGATCAACCAGTCGTCAAGTCTACTGCTGCTGCGAGGAGGAATGTAAGAGCTGGGTTTATTATTGATGATAGCGACGACGAGTAGATGGATAAGGTATATTTGTGAATAACGCAGCACCTACCTCATCCTTTCATCTTGGCCACCATAGATCTCTCGTGAATGTGTATCGACGCCAGTATAAATTTTGATGGCCTTTCTTATTTCCGATCCAACATCACTACCTAACGAACACAACAACAATGTCAGGCATTAATCTATCCCGCGATATCACACGAGTAGGAGGAATATGTCAAGAATGTGGAGGGAGATTTGGTGTGCATTCTAAGAATTGTTCTTGGAATGATGCCGCTTTGGGATGAGAAGCAAACGGTAGCACATCGGATTTGATAAGGTAGCCATTTTTTTCGGCATGATTTGTGCTGAAGGCGTTTTTATAGGGTAGGCAGTGAATGCATATAGGTGGTTGAATATGTGAGATGATTGAGTTGAGGTGCTTGCTGTGTTTCCACTTGGTGTGTCAAGCATGCATGAGAAGCTGTGCTATTTGTTTGTCCGGAACTTGAAGAAACGTTGGAAGCTTTCCACTGTCCCACCTAATCTTCCTAGGTTTACGGCACGATCGTAAGCTGAACGTTTTCTCAGAGGAGAGCATCCTGCTGGTGCTAAAAGATGGATTTGAAAGCACATGGTGCTTCTCTGCTCTGCGCTGTTGGCTGTAGTAGCGTGGTCTGGATGCTCGGCCAGTCTATGAATTGTGAAAGAGAATGTTTAGAGAGGTTATTAGACGCTGGTTAACTCACATATCTATTCTATCTAGCCCTGAAGCTCGCTCGTCATCAGAATTGTATGGATCGAGATTTTCAAGTGTGTATCTAGCGAATAATCCGCCAAGCAATCACATGTAAGCTCAGAGCAAAATCCTCCGAGGATCCACACTCACTACTGCTTAATAAAGTCACAAAAACTTTCCTAAGCAAACAGACACTACAGGTAATGTGGCTGCAAAGCTTCTCTTAAATTACGATTCCTTAAATCTCCCTCCGGCTAAATTCTAGGCGCAAAGCAACATATATATATCCCTACCTACACTCCAAATGCAGACGCTTAAGAAATACAAAAAGACCCTGTTAAAACGCCTCTCCGCTCTTACCACTACCCCTACCAAGTTAAGCCCCTAACCCTTTACTGCCCTCCCTCTCCCCTCTAAATACTATGATACCTCTACCTACCTCCGCCCTTAAAACCTCTGCACCCTAATACCCTTCGGGTCTAAATTCTAAGTGTAAAGCAACATGTACGTATCCTCACTTACACACTAAATGCAGACGCTCAAAAAACACAAAAGAACTTATTAAAACGCCTCTCCGCTCTTAATACTACCCCTACTAAGTCAAACCCCCAACCCTTTACTCGCCTCCCTCTCCCTCTAAACACTACAATACCTCCGAACACCTCCGCCCTCGAAACCTCTGCATCCTAATCCCCTTCGGAGTTAAATTCCAAGTGTAAAGCAACATGTACGTATCCTTACTTACACCCTACTCCAAATGCAGAACGCCTAAGAAACACACAAAAGAACCTATCAAAACGCCTCTCCGCTCTTAAACCCTTTATTCAAACCCCCAACCGTTCACTTCCTACCCTCTCCCCTCTAAACACTATAATACCTCCCCCTACCTCCGCCCTCCAAACCTCAGCACCCCAACTTTCTGCGAAAACCACCCACCCTCCCCTCCCTCTCCCTCTCCCTCTCCCTCTCCAAACGCCCTAACACCTCCCCCCTCAAAACCTCTGCACCCCAACCTTCTGCGAAAACCGACCGTCCAGCCTCCCCAACCTCAACTCCTCAATTTTCCTCTTCGCCCCAGCCACACTCGCCTCCCCGGAATAAACACAAAGCACCAATTTCGTCAAAATCTGCGCAGAATCCATAGCGGAAGTACGACGGAGTTCTGCTTCTGGTGGAGCCTGCACAGTCTCTGTCACATGGGTGGAAGCCTGTGACATTGCGGCTTGGGTCTGGAGGGATGTGACGAGAGGGTGGTTACCGGCGGCTCTGGCGGAGTTTTGGGCGGTTTGGAATTCGAGGCTATGATTTATAAAAGGTTAGTGATGGGATGGGGGTGTGGTAAGAGGGGATTTGGAGAGGATGTACGTACCTTAACTCATTGGAGATGTTTGCGAGTTCGGATTTCATGGGTTGAATGCGTGGTGCGAGGTAGCGGATGGCGGCGTGGAGGTCTTGTGCATGGTAGGTGGTGGAAATATCTTCGTTGATGTAGCCATTTGTGATCAAGGCTCCGTCGATGAGGTCTTTGAGCTTTGGGGGTGGTATGGTCGGGGGTTGAAAGGGGGCGATCGGCGGAGGCATTGTGTTGGAGCTCATAGTGGTGGTGATCGAGAATGCGCTTGTTGTTCGTGATGTATCGGTGTTGTTCGAGTCGAGTCTGTCGAGCCGAGTCTGGAAGGCTTCCTTGTATGTTGATGTATTTGTCGAAGAATATCTGGAACAGTTGGCTTCTTTTGTGCGTCATAATCACATACAAATCTTATCGTGCGATTGCTGGCCTGCGAGCATGTGAAGATGAGTGCATGTGGCGGAAGTTTCTGGCATGTGACAGCTGAAGGTGAAGTCAAATGGTGGCACGTGCGCAGCCAAGCGATGCGCTTGCGGGAAGAAGAGCCAACTTCGCCATTCCTCTCATTGATGCTTCGGCGACGTAGATAAAGCAGAGCTACGAAGAGCCCACCCAATGTAGAGTGCGCCTGCCAATAGCCTCGAGAGCCTGAGGTGAACGGGCAAAGATCCGTGTTCGACATACTAGGGCTAGAGGCTATACGCGGTCGGAAAGATGGGCAGACTTCGGCGACGTAGATAAATTAGAGCTACGAAGAGCCTACCCAATGTATAGTGCGCCTGCCAATAGCCTCGAGAGCCTAAGGTGAACGGGCAAAGAGCCGTGTTCGATATGCTGGGGCTAGAAGTTATACGCGGTCGGAAAGAAGGGCAGACTTCGGCGACGTAGATAAAGTAGAGCTACGAAGAGCCCACCCAATGTATAGTGCGCCTGCCAATAGCCTCGAGAGCCTGAGGTAAACGGGCAAAGAGCCGTGTTCGATATGCTGGGGCTAGAGGTTATACGCGGTCGGAAAGAAGGGCAGACTTCGACGACGTAGATAAAGCAGAGCTACGAAGCGCCCACCCAGTGTATAGTGCGCCTGCCAATAGCCTCGAGAGCCTGAGGTGAACGGGCAAAGAGCCGTGTTCGACATGCTAGGGCTGGAGGTCATGCGCGGTCGCTGCCGGTGGAGTTCTGAGTAAGGAATCTCGATATTCGGTGGGATCTGGGTTCATTTGTACCTATTGTGCTTCGATAGGTAGAAAGATCACTCTAGCGTACTTGATCTGGACATCCTTGGGTTAACATGCCGCATCTACCACCCGTGGGTTCACGAAGGTGCCTCTCATCTCTAATCAGGTGTAGCTGAGATGCTCCCGCCTCACCATCAGCCATACCAAGTGAAAAAAAAAACATTCACATCTTCCTCCTCAACCCCCAACCCACACCGGCAACCCTAGCCGCCAACAGAAAACACCCCCCAGCAAAAATCGAGCACCCACCCCAAATATTCGCATACAAAAACCCTCTCCCATCATCCCCACCCTTCTCCACCAAAGCCCCAAAAATCGGCCCTCCCGTCAACGCCGCAAAACTCACACAACTCAAAATCATCCCCGACCTCGTTCCCATCTTCCTCACATTGGGCGTAACAGTGCTCAAACCACCGAGAACGAGACCCTGAACGGCGGAATCAACGAGGCCGAAAACGATCGCGAAAACGAAGAGTTGGGGTTCAGAGGAGATGGAGATCCAGATGAAGTAGAGAATTGATGTGAGGAAGGTGAAAGGGATCATGGTATTTAAAACACCGAAGCGGTCGGCGAGGAGGCCGGGGAGGATGCGGCCTGGTGCCCCCATGGCGTTTAGGAGGAGGAAGATTGTGAGGGAGGTGGAGCGGGAGGTTCCTATGATTGTGGTCGCGTAGCGGGTGATCTGTTTTTCACGCAAGAAATCAGTTGATGGGCTAGTTGGTGTGATGTGCCTGTCATTCGATTGACGTACGAAGCTAAAAGCGACATAAATTGCCCACAACGTCAAAAACATGCCGATGGTGAATAGAGTGTAGGGTTTTTCTTTGAATGCTTCCCATTCGACCATCGCTCCAGAACTCCTAGGCGGGAGTCTCGGCTTCAGTAAAATGACGGCGAGGATGGAAAAGGCGAGGACCACGAATCCCATTACACGGACTGTCCATGCGAATCCAACAGTCGGCAGGAGTTGTTGTGCAATGGCAGGAAACACGACTCCACCAACCCCCGTCCCTGAAGCCATGGTACTCAAAGCCAAAGTCTTCTTCGACGAGAAGTAAGTAGCAATCAGCGAAATCGTAGGGCAAAACACCAGTCCACTCCCAACACCACCAATAATCCCTTGAGAAAGCAAGAGCTGCCAATAAACCGTAGCAAAACTCGTAGCGAAAATTCCGATCAATTGCAGCGTAATCCCCGAAACCATGCAAAGCCGAAAGAATCCCGCATCTGCTGCTCGACCGCTGAAAGTTCCAAGGAATAAAACCAGGAATATCTGGATCGAGGAAATCCATGAGACTGCTGTGAGGTCGAGGCCAAGGTTATCTGTGTAGTAGGAGGAGAAGAGAGAGTAGGAGTTTATGTAGCCCCAGGTGTTCAGCAGGACGAGAAAACCTGCGAAGACTTGGATCCAAGCTTCTCCGCCGTCTGGAGGTGGAGGAAAGTCTTCGATTGAGGTTGAGCGAGGGATTGATGGGGTGTCTTGAAGCAAAGGCTGACGTTCAGCATCGTCGATGTCTTTGTATGGATCTTCTAAACTCATGACTTTAATTTGTGGCCGATGCCTTGGAGTAGAGGGCAATGAAGTTGTCGCTCTTCGTCCCTTCTCAGATTATGCAATCAGCTTTTCGATGCATGTGCCCGACGCCCATTCCAGTTTCCAAAAAGGGACTCTTCCAGAACTGGTCATGATGTCAGTGGAATAATTCCCTCATCACAACTCCAAGGCTTTCTCGAAACGGTGCAGCATTGCGAGCTCTAGCAGGCCGGATCGAAGGAGATTGGGTGGCGGAGCTCAGTCCGTGAAGAAGTGGGAGGGGTATGGCGAGGTTGTTCTTCTGGTGAATTGTACCAGCTTCTGGTGGCATTTGCGATATTGAACGAGCGCAAGGCCTTCACCTTCAGTACTATACACATTGCCGACCTCGACTGCATGTCGTCTCATGTTCAGAACTTCTTCATTTTATGTATTCAATGATACTGTAAAGTCCTCACAGGACTCCCTCGCCCTTCAATCTGTGCATAACCGCTCGGTCCTGGCTCCAACGGTGGCGCGTTATGCCACGGCGTGCCAAATTGCTGAGGATACTCATTGCTGAACGTGCGTTGTGGTGTCGGGGGATGCTGGTAGTAATTTGGCGCATATTGTTGGCCAGCTTGCGAGCTCTTGTCCCGGAAGAATCCAAATGCAAGATTGGTGGTAGCAAAGCATCCAAAGACCAACAAGAATGTAAAGGCCATCGCTTTCCAGCTGATGGGCTCCACGAAGCTGTTGAAGATCTCAGCAAAAGTATGCGCTGACACTTTCGCTCTTCCAACTTTGTGGGGGTCTTGCTCCATGCACCGCTGCCAGCCTCTACACACTGTTTCAAGTGCTGGCATTCGTTTGCTCGGATCGCAGTTGTTCGATGTGTATTGGCGAGCGCACTCGGCCATCTCTGCCATGATATCGGCCATCGCTTCGTGACTCTTCTTGTCAACATCTCCTTGTACGGCTGACCAGAAGGAGTAGACCAGGTAGCCGCATCCCGCTAGGAGAAAGACGTTAAAGGCGAGTTGGGCGTAGAATGAGAGGATATGTGGCACAGTCGGATGCTGTGCAATGAAGGTAAAGAGATTGGAGATCCAGTGAGGCTTGCTCTCATCCCCATGAACGTCCTTGTGCTTGCCACTGACCTTCCGGGGGCTCTTGGCGTGCATCTCGCTGTCTTCTCCAGAGTCCGACACACTATGCCGTCTCCGTCGCGAAGCCTGCCGCTGAAGCTGATTCTCCCGTTTCTTCTTGACTCTCTTCTCGATGGCACCCGAGTGCTCTGGTCGCGCAATCTCGCCTCTTCCAGGACTCATCTTCATCTTGAACCTGCCCCAGAAAGAAGAATCTCGTTTCAGCTGCTGCGGTCGATCTTTCGTCGGGCTCCGTTCTCGCTCTGCGCCAGGCACCACTGGTTGGGTTGCGGCATTGAGTTTGCCAAATGGGGTTCGTTTTGCCATGTCGGGCGTGGCATCGCTGTCCACGTCTCGCTCTGGTGACTTCGGAGTCTCTCCAGCGCTCGAGTCGTCAATATCGGTACTCTGTTTCCGCGGCGTGTTGTAGAGAGAGTTGAAGGCTGCAGGCGCAGGCGCTTTTGGGAGGGGTTTGTTTGAAGATTGTTGGAGGCTGGCAAAGCTGGCGAAATTCTTGGAAGGCGAGTTGAAGGCGTTGTTATTCCCTGCAGCATCATCATCGTCATTAGCATCGCCGTAGCCGTAGCCGTAGCCGTAGCCGCCAATACTCGCGCTCATGGAGAACGTACGTCTTCTGCTGGGAGTATCGAAGCGCTGTGCATTTTGGCTGATTTGGGCGAAAGGTGATCGCTCGTCCATTGCGCCCGTCCTATTCTGCCACTCGAAGTCCATGCCCATCTCGTTCCCGCGTTGCGACATGATGACTTCTGGGGCAATGCGGTGTCCTCTCGAAAGCGGTGATGCGCGAGAGTGGTGCGTAGTGTCGCGCTCTAGTTGGTGCCCTCACAGGCTATTCTATCGCGATCTTTTGGCCAGGGTCTTGCGTCACAAAACAAGCGGGCACGGTAGGAAGGGGCAACCAGGAGCCATCACTTCTGCCAACACTCCTTCCAACACTTCCACCAACACTTTTATATTGATGACCTTGGAACCCTGCTGCCTGGCAGTCACCGGCATGCAATTCACTTGAACACTGTACCTTTGACACACCTGGCGCGGGCATCTTCGCCGCGCACGCATTCACATCTCGACGCTTGCCTTCTCGAAAACACCGCCATACAATCACACTCTACCAGAATTACGTCTGCTACACCTCTGGGACACCGAAAATTACGCTTTGGTGTCGATATACGCATCGTGGTGGACAGACTGCGGAGAACGATCTTGTTAGGGGAACCTGGGCGCAATGAAGCTGTCTTTCTTTCTATACTCTGTAATTTGATGATCATGATTCACACGAGATACCCGAAAACATTACGCACCCGCTCGCCCGTCAACATCAAAGCGCCGACGCCCATTATACATCGGCCATGCATTTCTAATGCCCGCTGTACAATACATGCTTCATCAAAAGCCAAAACGCGCGATTTGTGGTATCTAAAAGGCAGAGATAGCAACCGCGATGACCTGTGCATCGCTATGACTGATGCTGACCGTGGTCGACTTGACACCAGAAGCTTGAGCAGCGGCTCGTGCTTCTCCGTGGAGCTATAAATAAGTTAGTATGACTGTATGCGAAGAGAGGAGTTCTGTTACAACTCACCGTCACTGTTGGCGCGCCATTCTCGTCGTTCAAGATCTCAATGTCCTTGAGTGGAGCACCTCCACCCCGGCTGGCAACCTTCAAGCTCTTGAAGACGGCCTCCTTTGCAGACCACTTGCCTGTGAAGCTGGACTGTGGTGATGGCGCCTTTCTGCAGTACGCGATTTCAGATTCGGTGAAGTTGCGCTCAATGAAGGTGCTGTTGGTAATGTCGATCGCGTCGATCTGCTCAATGTCGACACCTGGGTTTGAGTTGGCAGAAGCGTTGGCTTTGACTAGGCTCTCAACCAGCTCCGTCGTGCTCTTATCATGGATCTTCTTCGGGTGCACCTTGGGGTAGGTGAACTCGGAAGTCTTCTTGTCAGTGGTGACGCGAGCCTCTGGGTTGAGGAAGATCTTGCTCTGCTGGTCATCTTCGTAAGGCGATTTGGTCTTGGCGCGGAACATGGTGTTATTGATGAGGCCATCGTGGTAGTATCTGTATGCCTTCTTCTGGCGCGCCTCGACCTTCTGCTTGTAGGTCGCGAATTGGGCGTGGTCAAGTGCAGCATACAGGTACTTGGGATGGATACCAATGGCCTGGGCACCCTTCTGACCGAAACCGAAGGACGTGACTGAAAAGGCCTTGATGCCATCAGTCTGAATGCTCTGGCTTGGGTAGACGATGTAGTCAAACTTCTCGAGCACCTTGTCAACGTTATCGGCGTTGCGGTTGCCCGGCACGAGACCAGAGTTGAGCACCTGCAGACATCCGTTGAACATCCAGGCACCGGCAGCACCCTTGGGGTGACCAGTGAGGTACTTCTGGAAGATACCAAGAAGAGCGTTGCCCTTCTTGCGGCCTAGATGTTGCATCTGCTGACAGATGACGTCGGACTCGTTCTTGTCGTTGGCGACAGTGGATGTTCCATGGAAGGAGGCGACGTCGAGGTCGTCGATGGTAAGACCCCAGGTAGCAAGAGCGCCACGAAGAGGAGCAATGCGAGGATCCTGCTTCCAGAAGTTGTTGCCAAGGCTTTGCAGGGCATCCTTCTCCTGGCGTCTTGCCTCACGCTCAATGTGGTTGGCACGGTCCTCCATGTACTCGGTCTCGTTGAACTCGTTGCCCTGCTGCTTCATAGCATTAACTTCTTCTTGCAGGTACATGAGCTCAGACTCCTGCCAGTTCTTGATCTGCTTCTTGCGGAGGTCGAGTTGTCTCTTTCTGTACTTGATGTCAAGAAGTGGCGATGGGAACTTGCTCTGCTGCTCACGGGCACCGGTCAGCACACCCTGACCAGGAGCTGGCACAGAGCGACCGATCTTGTCAGTGGCAGTAGCAGTGTAGCCGAGGACACCGTAGATCGGCACACCCATGTCGAGAGCAAGCTTAGCGTCCATGATGACCTGCATACCACAGCCCTGAGACTCCATGAAGCCACTACGGGTGGTAGTGGTTGGTCGTGACATCTCCTTTGGTGTGCGGCCGTGCTCAAATTCGGTCTTGGCGTTGCTGGTGGCGCCCATGTTGGCGAACTCGTATGAGCCTTCCTCTTGGAAGTCATCAAACCCACCAACAAAGCACATACGAGCCTTCCCTTCCACGATACAGTCGTAACCAATATCGATGGACTCAACAGCAGTGGCGCAAGCACCGACTGGAGTTCTGATTGGACCAGTGGAAGAGATGAGCAACATGTTGATCCAGGCGCTCATGGTGTTGATGAAGGACTCTTGAAGGATGTCCTTCTGCAGCGGCTTGTCAAGGAAGCGGTCCTTATACATTCCACGAAGGGCGGTAGTACCACCAATACCAGAACCTATGCAGTTACCGACTTCTGAGATGTGAACATACTTGTAAAACTCGTACGGATCAGTGATACCAGAGCACAACAGACACTCGGCAGTGGTGACGAGCACGTAGAGCGTGACTGGGTCGACTTGGGAGATGATGTCGTCTGGCACGCCGTACTTCTTGGCATCCCAACCGGTGGGCACTTGGCCAGCAACGAGGCGATCAAAGCGGAGGGCCTTTGGAATAAGCAGAGTGGCACCCTTCTTCAGACGGACCTGGAACTCGCCAGATTCGAGTTCGAAGATCTCCACCTTCTCGCCGTGCTCACGCTTGAACTCCTCGGCAGTCTCCTTTGAGCTCTCGAATGGATCGAGATCCTCCTCAATCTGGATCTCCTGCATGAGCTGCTTCTTGTTTGGGTCGTAGCCATTGAACAGCTCGGGCTCGATGAGACGGATGCCAGAGTGGTCCAGGATGTGCTTCTCGTACTTAGCCTTGACGTCCTTGTCGTCGACGGGATCGCCAGACTTGGCATCAACCCAGCCAGAGTAGCTCTTGCCCTTGAGTTGACCGTTGAAGTTCTTGATGAGACCCATGATCCAGGCCATCTCAACGCAGCCCTCAAGAGAGAACTGGCCGTAAGCCTCCATCTCCCATCGGGTTCTGGAATTACCCCATGGTCCAACTTCTGCAAAACCAGTGACCACGACAACCTTCTCAAGATCGACCATACCCTTGAGGTCGCCATTGAGTGGCTCAATCTCGGTCTTCCAGTCTGGGAGCTTGGGAAAGTCAAACTTGAGGTTGGCACGCTTCGCAACCTTAGCAGTCTTGTAGAGAGCCTCGCTGTCCTCACCATTGACGACCTTGTTCTCGAGAGCAGTCTCGCGAGTGACTGCCTTGCGGATCTCAGACGTCTCGGTGATGTCCTTGCGCAGCTTGGTCATCAAGTCCTTGAGGTTTGGCAGAAATTGAAGACCACCGTTCAAATCAGCGAAGACAGGCTCCTGCTGGCACAGGTTGACAATCGCTGGAGCCATGAGGCCGAGCAAGTTGAAAGCCATTTCCTGCTGAGAGAAGGTGCGGACGCCAAACTTCTCCACGCCTTCAGCGACAACGTTGTTGCCGCCCATGAGTCCGGTACCACGAGTCCAACCAATGACAGCACCGCAGATGGTGAGGAAGTTGCCCCAGCTCTCAGAGTGCCATCGGTTGAAGAGAGTCTCGAGTGCCAACTTGGACTCGGAGTAGAGGCCATCATTACCAAAAGTACCGTGATTGGGCGAGAGAGGCAGAATGACTTGAGCTGGACGGGTCTCAAAGCCACGTGTGGCCTTCTGGGTCTTGACAGCACCAAGCATGCGGAGCAGGTTGGTAAGCATGATACGGTGAGCGAGTTCAGACTTGCTGTCGATGCTGTCGATTTCGCGACCGTTCTCCGGGATGGCAGCGAAAGGAACGATGTAGTCCAGATCCCAGCCGAGACCCTTCTTCTCGTCATAGATGTAGTCGACGAGAGCGTTCACGTCCTGCAAGCTACCCTGGTTGAAGGGCACAACGACAAGCTGTGAACCGCGTCCGCCATAGCGAGCGTACATCGCCTGGTAGTACTCGGTGACTTCTCGAGAGAATCTAGATGTGGTAACAATGACCTTCGCACCACCACTGATGAGACCTTGAAGGACCTCAGCACCGATGGAGCCTGCGCCTGCACCAGTCATGAGGACATTCTTGTTCTGGTACGTGACACCAGACTTGGCTGCCTGCTCGAGGCCGTCTAGGTAGACGCTGGTGAGCTTCTTGCTGTATTCCCATCCATGCTCTTCCTTGCGCTTGAGGTGCAAGAATGGAACGGTCTCCACCTTGCCCTGCTTGGGAATGGCAGCACCGTTGATGCGAGGATTGCGGCCCTTTTTGACGTGGCCGTTGAGCTTGCCATTCTCAACAGGCATGATCTGGCCCTCGTTCATAGAGAGCGAGCGGACGATGTTGCTGTATAACTGCTTAATCTCGAGCTGTGAGGACTTGGAGAGCTTGTGTTGCTGGCGGATGAGTCTGTACACTCGCTGCAAATCGTTCTGAACCTTGGTGCGGTTTCCATATTCTGAGATCTTGCCACCATCTGCCATCTCGCGGACGTAATGCTCGAGCTTGCGAACGCTAGCTCGTGGTGCCTCCTCATAGTTCATGTTACCGCGAGGATCGATGGTGAGGTGTGGTGCGGTAGGAAGAGCGACATCTTTGTAGACAGGAGCCTCGCCGAGGACATCGCGGCAGTTCTCGATGAGTTGCTGTCCAAGTTCTTTCGCCAGCTCGTAGGTCTCACCCTTCTCGGTCGGGCAGTGGTCGATGTGGTATTGCATGAATTCGAGCAATTTCGGATTTGACCTGTTCATGATGAGAATGCAACGGGAGACAATCTCGCGATCGACAGCTGTCAGACGTCCAAAGATAATATCATAGTACATCTTCAGCGCGTCTTGTCTCGCCCAATTCCATGATGAGTCGTAGACACGGGCCTTGAGAGGACTGAATGAAGGTGCGATACCTGCAGCGTAGAAATCGCCATGTTCGGTGGTCCAGAGGTCGAGCTGGGCTTGGAGAGCAGCTTCGTTCTGCTTGGTGGCCAAAGCGGCCTTGTCACCAGCACGCAAATCCATCTTGAGGTAGCGTGCAAAGAGCTCGAGTTGCTGCTTGAAAAGAGCTCGCTGGTCCTTGGTGAGGGCGTCAATGGCTGCTGGGTCCATCATCATGCCAGCGCCACCAGCCCCGCCGTCTCCGGCTGCTGGGCCTGACGAAAGGCTCACACCAGCGTGTGCTGCGTACTTGTGGGACATGTCGTCGAGCCATGCTTTCGCATCGTTCTCCGAGCCAAGACGCTTGTCAGGCTCCATTGTGAGTGCCAGAAGCAAAACACCATCTTGTCTACCAGATCCCAAGCCCCATCTTGTTTCTAAGTGCTTTCGCACTGATGTGATGTTGAAGCCTCCAGGCATCTTCGACGAGACCATGCGAGCAATGAGTGACGAGGACTGCTTTCCGAGCTGACCATTGAAGGTAGCCTGCATTGATGCACCCAGTTCATCAAGAGGTGTGTCTTCCGGCTTCTCTGGCGTCGAGCCAAATTCCTTTCCAAGGTCTCCAAGGATTTCGTTCTGAAGTGTGGACTTGCCTGTAGAAGGGTTAGATTGGGCTCCGCATGATTAAAGGTTGAAGATGGTTGTGCTCACCTCCGACTAAATCCTTGATTGCCTTGCTGAGCGGGATGTCTTGCAAGGACTTCTTGAGCTTCTGTGCTACAAGAGCTCTAAGCACATCTACTGCGCCGACTGGAGCATCGTCAATAGCTGCAGCTGGACCAGCGCTGGGCGCAGCAGGAGCGGCCGCAACTGGTGCTGCAGCTGGAGCAGATCCTGACGAAGCTGCTGGGGCACTGTCAGAACCACTCGGTGCTGGAGCTGGCTCGTCTTCCACCGGGTCCACGTCGTAGTAGATCTCCTTTGCGTCTTTGTTGTAGCACAAGATCTGCCGTTGCACGGATCGTGCAGCATCATATGCCTCGTACTTGGCTGCAAGTGTCCGTTTGGCCATAACACCGAGGGTGTCTGCTGGACCGACTTCTACTATCCGCTCCGTCGTCTTCTCGCCGAGAATAACATCTTGTGTTTCGATCCATCTCACGGGCGAGGCGAATTGATATGCGAGAAGTTCGACCAGAAGGGTATGCGCGAGGTCTTGCTGGACTTCGGGCCTCATGTTTACTGTGAACTCGGGTCTAGTGTCTAAGTGTATATATCAGGCCAATGCGAGGATTATGGAGTAAAGAGCGTGTGCATCGACTGCCTGGCTGTTTCGGGAGGGAGGAAGTGGCGGGCGTGAGGGCGAAAGTGTGGTCCGGAAGGTTCGCAGAGATTTGTTCCAATTGACCAAGCTGTGTCCGGGCTGGTGGATGAGGATTCCTGCGATAGGGAGTTGCCGCCGTGGTCCGAATGTCGGTCCCAACAGTAGATGTGGGCGCGGTGAGCTGCGGGCGTGGGTGTGGGCCAGGGACAGAGTGTGTGGGTGTATGGTTGACGGGTGGTTGAGGGCAGGCAGGCTCGTGGTCTCCCGTCTCCAACGTTTCGTCTTTTCGTGGAGAAAGCTGCAGGCTCGGTTGACGGCTAGTTACCGCTGCGGCTCACACGTCAGGCGCTGATTAAGTTCGGCCGATTGATGCAGACAGTCAAGCAGGAACGATGCAGAAATACAGACAATGGGCAAGACAGGACAGGACAGGACAGGACAGGCGGTGATGTGGACGGGACTGAATTCAACAATTCTCGCACGGAGACAGGTGGCTCGCACGCGGATGTGTGCCGGTGCCTGGGAGAGCACGCGATGACCAGACTCCACCAAAGCCCGTCGAAAGCGTGCACGAAAGCCAGACGGCGCTAGCGGTCCCAGCGTCTGCAAAAGGCTTTGCATCCCTGCTCAATAATGCGAGAGCTCAACGCTGCGTCTCATCGATGCATATCAGAGTGTAGAGTTCAGCGCGTGCGCATTGTGCCCGCACACCCGATTCTTCCTCGCTGCCTCTGACTCCTGCTACACCTCCTCCATCTTGTTGTTGCTGTATACAGGTGTATAGCATCTCCGCTCATTTTGTGCCCCGTCGACCGCATCATTGAGCTCTTTCCCGCGGGCGGCCCGTGTCGTGCAAGCTCCCCAGGAACACCGAACACTAAACACCGCTGTCGAATGATCGTTCGAGAATTTAATCTGTAAGTAGTAAACGATAACGAGAAACACCACCACCGACCGTCCTCTGCCACAACTCGCTGTTTTTGCTGCAACGTCGCCCGTACAACACTGGTCTGGAGGCAACCGCATTTCAGATTGCGTAGTTCTGTCGGCACCGGAAAAGGTCAGAGCACACGACTGCCTGCCTGTCTGAGTGGAAGACGATGCTGCACACCTCTCACCAGCACAATCCGCAACCGCAGACATCATGAGCACTCCTACACAGGAGCTGACCCCAGCAGTGCAGTTTGATCAGGCAGAATCGCCCACCGCCGCCGCCACCACCACCGCCACCACCACCAGGCGACGACCGAACATGTACGGCTCAGGCTCTCAGACCGGTGTTTCCACCCCCCGATCACAAGCCGTCTCGAGACCTCTCACCCTCACACACGGCTCACTCGAATACACCTTCTTAATACCCACCGCCCTCCACTTCAACGCAACTCAACTCAAAGATGCCTTCCTCCACACGCTTCCCGAAGCCACAGAAGAGCTTGCCCAGGATGATGAGCCGTCGTCCGTCACCGAGCTCGTAGCACGCTACATCGCTTTTATTGCGAAAGAAGTCGACGAAGGCGACGACCCGGAAGTCTTCGTTGAGGTCCTGAAACTCCTCCTCCAAGAATTCGAGCGCACTTTCCTCCGTGGCAATGAAGTCCATGCCATTGCTGCAAACCTTCCAGGTATTGTGGAGAAGAAGCTTGTGACCGTGCAAGCATACTACGCAGCTCGTGCCGCAGCGAAGCGCAACATCAGAGCCCACGAATCCGCACTTCTCAGAGAAGCTGCAGATGACAATGCCTACATTTACGCTGTCTTTGGCGGTCAAGGTAACATTGAAGAGTACTTTGACGAACTGCGCGAAATCTACACCACCTACCCATCGCTGGTCCGAGATTTCTTGAGTGTCGCTGCTCAGCACCTTCAGTACCTGTCACGGGACCCACGAGCTTTCAAGAGCTACCCCAAAGGTCTTGACATTCTCCGATGGCTCGACAACAAGGAAGCCCAGCCAGACACCGATTATCTCGTCTCTGCCCCTGTCAGCTTCCCATTGATCGGCCTCACACAACTCGCGCACTACGTCGTCACTTGCAGAGTCCTTGGCACGCATCCGGGACATGTACGAGAACGTTTGTCCGGATGTACTGGCCACTCGCAAGGTGTCGTGACAGCGACCGCAATCGCCGCCTCGTCAAATTGGGAAACCTTCGACAGCCAAGCGCGCAACGCTCTCACAATTCTTTTCTGGATTGGTGCACGCAGTCAGCAAGCATACCCCAGAACTTCGCTGGCACCTAATGTCTTGCAAGACTCCATCGACAATGGCGAGGGCTCACCTACGCCCATGTTGACAGTGCGAGATCTGCCTCGAGAGACAGTTGATAAGCTGATCAAGCAGACCAACGAGCATCTCCCACAAGATCGACACATTGGCATCTCCTTGATCAACAGCGCAAGGAATTTCGTCATCACAGGTCCGCCAATGTCCCTTTATGGTCTCAATCTCCAGCTCCGCAAGATCAAGGCACCGACTGGTCTCGACCAGACCCGAATCCCTCACACGCAGCGAAAGGTCCGCTTCACCAACCGCTTCCTCCCCATCACAGCACCATTCCACAGCCCCTACCTCACAGAGGCAATCAAGAACCTCGAGACAGACCTCGCCGAAATTCACATCCCAGCATCGCAGCTCGGCATACCTGTGTACGACACCTACACGGGTAACGACATCCGCAAACAGAATGGCGAGAACATTACGAGCGCGCTTGTGCGCATGATCTGCCAAGATCAGGTCAACTGGGAGGAGGCCACGGTTATGCCCAATGCCACGCACATTCTGGACTTCGGTCCTGGTGGCATTTCTGGACTTGGTGTTCTCACCAACCGCAACAAGGACGGAACTGGTGTCCGGGTCATTCTTGCAGGAACCATGGATGGCACCAACACCGAGGTCGGATACAAGCCAGAGATCTTCGACCGCGATGCAGAGCACGCTGTCAAGTATGCTGTCGACTGGGTGAAAGAGTACGGACCAAAGCTTGTCAGGACATCTGCAGGTCAGACATTTGTGGACACAAAGATGAGCAGAATGCTCGGTCTTCCTCCCGTCATGGTTGCAGGAATGACACCTTGCACCGTGCCATGGGATTTTGTAGCAGCAACGATGAGCGCTGGCTACGAGATCGAGCTCGCTGGTGGTGGCTACTACAACGACAAGAGCATGACTGAGGCGATTTCAAAGATTGAGAAGGTCATTCCTGCTGGTCGTGGTATCACGGTCAACTTGATCTACGTGGCTCCTCGTGCTATGGCATGGCAGATCCCCATGATCGGCAGACTACGAGCTGAGGGTGTGCCGATCGAGGGGTTGACGATTGGTGCTGGCGTGCCATCTATTGAGGTCGCTAACGAGTACATCACCACGCTCGGCATCAAGCACATTGGCTTCAAGCCCGGCTCAGTCGAGGCCATTCAGCAGGTCATCAACATCGCCAAGGCCAACCCAGGTTTCCCGGTCATGATGCAGTGGACTGGTGGTCGTGGAGGTGGTCACCACTCTTACGAGGACTTCCACCAGCCTATTCTGTCCATGTACAGCAGAATCAGGAGGTGTGACAATCTCGTCTTGATTGCTGGCTCTGGTTTCGGTGGTGCCGAAGACACCTATCCTTACTTGACTGGTGAGTGGGCTAAGAAGTTTGGCTACCCACCAATGCCATTCGACGGTGTCCTATTCGGATCTCGCTGTATGGTCGCCAAGGAGGCGCACACCTCGAAGGCAGCCAAGCAGGCAATCGTTGACGCCCCTGGCCTCGAAGACCACGAGTGGGAGAACACCTACAAGGGCCCTGCTGGTGGTGTGATCACTGTTCGCTCCGAGATGGGCGAGCCGATCCACAAGATTGCGACTCGCGGTATCATGTTCTGGGCGGAAATGGACCAGAAGATTTTCAGCTTGGACAAAGCCAAGCGCATCCCAGAGCTCAAGAAGCAGCGAGAATACATCATCAAGAAATTGAATGATGACTTCCAGAAGCCATGGTTCGGCCGCAACAAGGCTGGCGAGAGCGTCGACCTTGAGGACATGACATATGCCGAGGTCTTGCGCCGAATGGTTGACCTGATGTACATCAAGCATCAAAAGCGCTGGATTGACAAGTCTCTCGCAAGACTCACCGGCGACTTTATCCGCCGTATTGAGGAGCGCTTTGCGGAGTCGGATGGGCAAGGATCTCTCATCCAGAACTACAGCGAGCTTGACGAGCCATTCAGCACCGTCGACAGGGTCGTCTCGACCTACCCAGAGTCCGACATCCAGCTCATCAATGCCCAGGATTGCCAACACTTCTTGCTCCTCTGCCAACGCCGAGGCCAGAAGCCCACTCCATTCGTGCCTTGCTTGGACGACACCTTCGAGTTCTTCTTCAAGAAGGACTCTTTGTGGCAGTCTGAGGATCTTGATGCGGTCGTGGACCAGGATGTTGGCCGTGTCGCGATTCTGCAAGGCCCAATGGCTGCGAAGTATTCTACCAAGGTTGACGAGCCTATCAAGGAGATTCTTGACGGCGTTCACGAGGGACACATCAAGAACTTGACTCGCGATCTTTACGCCGGCGATGTCAACAGAATCCCACGCATCGAGTACTTCGGTGGCAAGCTCATCGAGGCAAGCCCAGAGATCAACTTGGAAGGCTTGACTGTCAACGAGTCTGAGCAGCGGATACTCTACCGTCTCTCTGCAGTCTCTGGCACTGCGCTCCCACCAATCGACAACTGGATGCAGCTGCTTGCCGGCAAGGCACACACCTGGCGACACGCCTTCTTCACCGCGGATGTCTTCGTGCAAGGTCAGCGCTACCAGACTAATCCGATGCGCCGAATCTTTGCACCAACCCCAGGCATGGTCGTGGAAATTGCTTACCCCAACGAGCCAAAGCGCACTGTCATCAGTGTCAAGGAGCCATCACACGGTGCTCAGTACGTGCAGACTATTGAGGTTGCTCGAGACAGCAAGGGTGAAATCGTGCTCAGAATGATTGAGGATCGCACCGCCACTGGCAAGCCTGTTGCCCTGCCACTTCGCTTCACTTACCATCCAGAGACTGGATACGCTCCGATTCGCGAGATCATGGAAGCTCGCAACGATCACATCAAGGAGTTCTACTACAAGATTTGGTTTGGTGATGAAGCCTGCCCATTCGACACTCCAGTCACTTCTCGATTCGACGGTGGCCGCGCCACTGTTACCAGTGAGGCCATCGCCGACTTCGTGCACGCTGTCGGCAACACTGGTGAGGCTTTCGTTGAGCGACCGGGTAAGGAAGTCTTCGCGCCTATGGATTTCGCCATTGTTGTTGGCTGGAAGGCCATCACCAAGCCAATCTTCCCTCGCAAAATTGATGGTGATCTCTTGAAGCTTGTCCATCTCTCAAATGGATTCCGCATGATTCCAGGTGCTACTCCACTGAAGAAGGGTGACGTTCTGGACACCACCGCTGAAGTCAACGCTGTCATCAACCAAGACAGTGGCAAAATGGTCGAAGTGAAGGGCACTATCACACGCGCTGGCGAGCCGGTGATGGAAGTCACCAGCCAGTTCTTGTACCGTGGCGCATACAACGACTTCGAGAACACATTCCAGCGCAAAGACGAGACGCCAATACAACTCCACCTTGGCTCTACCAAAGACGTTGCAGTTCTGCAGTCCAAGGAGTGGTTCAAGCTTGAGAACACCGTTGTCGATCTCCTTGACCAGACGCTTGTGTTCAAGCTCCAAACACTCGTGCGCTACAAGAGCAAGAACGTCTTCTCATCCGTGGAGACCGTCGGTACTGTTGAGCTCGAGTTGCCCAGCAAAGAAATCATCAACATCGCCTCCGTCGAGTACGAGGCTGGAACCTCTTACGGTAACCCAGTCCTTGACTACCTCGAGCGCAACGGCTCCGCACTCGATCAACCTGTCAACTTTGAGAACCCTATTCCATTGAGTGGCAAGACGCCTCTGGTTCTGAAGGCACCATCATCCAACGAGACCTACGCTCGTGTCTCGGGTGATTACAACCCGATCCACGTTTCTCGTGTCTTCTCACAGTATGCCGGCCTTCCGGGCACCATCACTCACGGCATGTACTCCAGCGCTGCTGTCCGCTCACTCGTGGAGACATGGGCCGCTGAGAATAACGTCGGTCGTGTCCGAAGCTTCCACGCCTCTCTTGTCGGCATGGTTCTGCCAGACGACACTATCGAGGTCAAGCTGCAGCACGTCGGAATGGTCGCTGGCCGCAAGATCATCAAGATCGAGGCTCAAAAGACTGACGGCGAGAATGAAGAGAAGGTTCTCCTGGCAGAAGCCGAGGTCGAACAGCCAGTGTCGTCCTACGTCTTCACTGGTCAAGGTTCGCAAGAGCAAGGAATGGGCATGGATCTGTACAACTCCAGCCCAGTCGCGAAGGAGGTGTGGGATCGCGCCGACAAGCACTTCATGGACAACTATGGTAAGATGCTCCCAGACGTTCTCTTCATTGCGACCGTCATTCTAACATGCTACAGGCTTCGCTATCACGAACATCGTCAAGAACAACCCGAAGGAGCTCACTATCCACTTCGGAGGTGCTCGCGGCAAGGCGATTCGCAAGAACTACATGGACATGACTTTCGAGACTGTTGCTACCGACGGAAGCATCAAATCCGAGAAGATCTTCAAAGAGATCTCAGAAGAGACCACATCCTACACCTACCGATCACCAACGGGTCTGCTGTCCGCCACCCAGTTCACCCAGCCCGCCTTGACACTCATGGAGAAGGCTTCTTTCGAGGACATGCGTTCCAAGGGTCTTGTGCAGCGTGACAGCAGTTTCGCCGGTCACTCTTTGGGAGAGTATAGTGCCCTAGCTGCCCTTGCCGAGGTCATGCCCATTGAGAGCTTGGTCTCTGTCGTGTTCTACCGTGGTCTGACAATGCAGGTCGCTGTCGAGCGTGACGAAGCTGGTCGCTCAAACTACAGCATGTGCGCTGTCAACCCATCGCGTATCGGCAAGACCTTCAACGAGCAGGCCCTCCAGTACGTTGTTGAGAACATCACTGAGACCACCGACTGGCTCCTCGAGATTGTCAACCTCAACGTGCAGAACCAGCAATACGTCTGCGCTGGTGACCTCCGCGCCCTGGACACCATGACTGGAGTTTTGAACTACCTCAAGCAGCAGAAGATTGACATTCAATCACTCATGCAGACCATGAGCATGGAGGATGTCAAGGCTCATCTTGTTGAAATCATCAAGGAATGTGCCAAGCAGACCGAGGCCAAGCCCAAGCCACTCGACCTCCAACGCGGTTTCGCCACAATCCCACTCAAGGGTATCGATGTGCCCTTCCACTCCACCTTCTTGCGATCAGGTGTCAAGCCTTTCCGATCTTTCTTGCTCAAGAAGATCCACAAGACTTCCATCGACCCCAGCAAGCTGGTCGGCAAATACATTCCCAACGTCACCGCCAAGCCCTTCGAACTCACCAAAGAGTACTTTGAGGATGTCTACCGCCTCACCAAGTCACCGAGAATTGGCAATATCCTGGACAACTGGGACAAGTACGAGTCTGATGAGCCGAACTTGCAGCGACCCCGTGCTGGAAGCATGGCTGTTCCTCAGGCATAGAGTGGCGGGGCGCCGGCTGTGTTGTCTGCGTTTATGAATCATTATATGCGAGCGCGGCGTTAATGAATGGGATTTTCGGAATGTGCTTGTAAGCCACAGACAGACAGAAATCATTAACCAGGCGACTGGAAGACTATAAAGTTGTATGTATCTAGAGCAATCGATGACTGTCGTAGCATTACAATATTACGTGAATGGATCGACTATAAAGTTCATCATCTGAATATTCAATTCCTGCGCAACTCGACTGATCGAAGTCCATTCTTGACTTTCATAATTTCCCACTCAACGCTTCATCTCTGATCCAATTCTGATATAGTGCAATGTCATCGATTTCTGGGTTGTCAGATTGCAAAAGGAAAGGGACTGTGTTATTTAAGCAGGCACAACTCGGCATTTCCTCGGCGAAGTTCCGCTCACGCCTCACCTCGCCTCTCAAACACAACTTCCATCAGCAAAACACCTAATAACAACCATTTCGAAACACAGATGCAGCCCTCACCATGGCCAAAACAAAGTCCTCCGCTCCAGCGCAGCCCGCGCCATCAGGTCTAGGCAAAACAACCCTCATCTTCGACAACGGCGCCCACACCATAAAATCCGGCCTCAGCACCCCAGGCACCGACCCCAACCTTTCAGACTGCCATCTCATCCCCAACTGCATCGCGCGCTCCCAACGCGACAAATTGACCTACATCGGCTCGGACCTCGACACGTGTGGAGATTTCGGGGAACTTGCGATTCGGAGGCCTGTAGAGAAAGGTTTTGTCGTGAATTGGGAGAGCGAGAAGGCGGTTTGGGAGAAGACGATTTCTGATTTGAAGGTTGAGGTTGAAGGGACGAATTTTTTGCTTACGGAACAGTGTCATGCGCCCGTGGCGTTGCAGAGGATGGCGGATGAGATGGTGTTTGAGGAGTTTGGGTTTGGGGGGTTGTGGAGGGGGGTTGGGGCGGGTTTGAATGCTTATGCGCCGAGTGCGTTCGGGGAGAAGGATGAGAGGGAGTTTGGGGCTCCGTTGGAGTGTTTGATGGTGGTTGATTCGGGACATTCGCAGACGAGTGTTACGCCGCTTTATCATGGGCGACCGATCCAGGTGGCTTGTAGGAGGTTGGAGATTGGGGGCAAGACTTTGACGAATCATCTCAAGGATTTGTTGTCGCGGCAGATGGACATGCATCGTGAGGAGTGGATTAGTCAGGAGATTAAGGAGGATACTTGTTATGTTGTCAAGGATTCTACGGAGTTTCAGGCACGGCTGGAAAGGGTTTGGAAAGGTGGACAGAAGGATGCGAGGGAGATTGATGCTAGTATTGTGGTTGATTATGTGCTGCCTGATTATGAGAAGTTGAAGCGTGGTTTCGCTAGGCCTCATGACCCTTCGAAAGGTGCCAAGTTGAGGAGGCTCGGGATCGGCGGGGAGACCGAGATGGTGTTGCCGGTTGGTAATGAGAGGTTTACTGTCCCGGAGATTTTGTTCACGCCGAGCGATATCGGCATGCAGCAGGATGGCATTGCTGGAACTGTGCTGCAGAGTCTCGAGGCTATTCCAAAAGGCTTGTGGCAAGCTTTCCTGGCGAACATCCTCGTCGTCGGCGGTACGAGCAAATTGCCGGGGTTCGTTGAGCGCCTGGAAGCAGACTTGAGGAGCAGGATCGATGATCAATTCACGGTCAGAGTTGCTGCGCCCGAAGACCCATTGAAAAATGCCTGGCTTGGTGGTGCCAGACTGGCGCAGAACGAGGATCTGTTGAAGAGCATGGTTGTCACCCGTGCAGAGTATATGGAGCATGGCGATGGCTGGACCCGGCGGAAATTTGCTGGCAAGGTTGGAAAATGATGCTCGCTCACATCACGTCTTGCGAATCGCTTCTCCCTCGACGGGGTTCTGGTGATAATTGCAAGGTGCCATGCTGGTGTCAGATATTGCTCTTCATGATGGAGCCGGCGGCTGCTGTAGCGACACCATGACCTCTTGCGCAAGGTCACCGAACTTATTCTGGTTCTCACGACAGTCGTTGCCCAGCGCTTTGAGCAATTTGACACAATCTTGTCGAATTTCAGAATGCTCATGTCGACAAAGATGTTTCATAGCATCCAGTGCATTTTCTGATTGACCGATCAATCTTCGGGCGCGAAGAGAGGGCCGAGATAGCTGAATCAGAACACCTGCGATAGAGTGCAGAGCTTCAATGCTTAGACCTTCCTGATCTGCTGACGCGAGGACGTCAAGCAGAGACTTGTGCAAAGCGAAGCCCTGAAGGCTGCCTTCTTCAGCCCAGCTTGCGTAGCTCTCCTGTGGCAGCGCCCACAGTAGATTGCCTGGATTTGCACGGATCAGCGCTGTCTTAAGCTAACGCTAGAATCACTCACCAATAATCTGGCAGCATGCGATGAAATAAGATCCACTACAAGCGTCGCCTCTAGCATGGCAGATATAGGAGAGAATAGAGGTACCCTGAGCGGAGATGATATCATCCTCCAAAGAATAATATTTCACAAACTCCGGGTTAGCAGAGATATCAGACAAACACCATACCAGATTCGCGTTCTGCGCCTTCAAAAGGTCTGCATCCTCTTTATCCTCGATTGCAGCCGCAAGAAAAGGATCTTCGTGTTCCTTGATGATTTCAAGCACCCTCCCCACTAATCGCTGACCTGCGATCTGTCCTTGGACTACTGGATCTCTCAAGTAGACAAGAACAAGCTCGGTAGCGATCAGCACTGCTTCCACATTCTCGCCATCTTCACGTTGCGGAAGTTGGTCGAGCAAGCCACTCAATACCGCGCTGGGCAACTGCTCTTGGAGTGCCGGTTCCAGCTCCGCCTTGTGGCCAGTAATCCAAAGCAGGATGTCACGGACTTGTTCTTCGGCATCGAATGGCCAAGATGTCAGGAGCTGACAATGCACTCCTTCTCGATAACATTGCTTTTGTGAAGCTTCGTGATCTTTGCAGATATTATATAGCACCTGCGCGGCGAGCTCCCGGAATCCTGATATCTGACTGTCTCCGCCATGTGGGAGCAGGAAGCGAGTAATCCAGGAGAAGCCAATGGCCGTGATCGTGTCTCGGGCGGTTTCATTGTCTGCACAAGCATTCCCTATGCAACGAAGTGTCGGATCTGGTGCTGATGCATCGCTGAGATTCTCGACGAGTGCTGGTAGGGAGTGTGCTAAGCGTTCTCGCACTGCAGGCTGCTCTCTGCTGGCCAGGGCAAGCCTTGCAATGGCTTGATGTCTCTTGTCCCTTGGAGTGTCCGGGGTAGAAAGGGCCGTGACGTCCAGGGCTACTTGGTCTTCAGCCGAGTCTGCAGATGTCATGCCGCTGATCGTTTCCAGCCAGAGCTTCGTTGTGTGGACCGTTCAGGCCAAGTGAAGTTGAATGCTAGTCAGTTTGTCTCAGAGGTGATGCGGCCTGCCATTAGCGGCGCCGAAGGTTGAGCCAATTGATGAGCCGGACGGAGCTGGTCGATGCCTTGGCCTCCACTCCTGAGTCTTGAAGTCGGCGTGCGTCTATTCCACAGCATCAACATTCCACCTCCTACGCCCCAATGCTGCATATCAAGCAAAGCATTGGCCTCGACGATACCGCCAGCCAATGCAATGAGTGATGATGCTTGCTGAGAATGCGAACAACCATGAAGGATCACGCTCGGCTGCAGGGACTTGGAGAGGCCGCCGTCACGCGCCTCCACAAGCATTGCTAAGGGCGGCGGCGGAGTAGATCGATAATAACAATGCTGACCAGGTCGCAGCTATCAATGTAGGGACATTTGTACCCCAAACCTCCCGAACCTCCCGAACCTCCACATTTTCACAGTCTGCCCATGACATGACTGCGACCAGACGCACGAAACACCGACCTCGAGATGAACAATCCAAACGAAGTGTCGTTGAACGATGTAGCATGCCCGCAAGAGCTGGTCTGGCCGGAGCATCTGTCAGCGAAGGGGCCATTCGATAATGCCTATACTCCCCACGAACTTGTAGGACACACATTGCTTCCGTCGAGTCAAGAAGGCTTCGGCATGCCTCCCTCGACTCTGGATAATGCTTCATACACGCAGGGCATCGCGGTAATCTCGCCTGATCCTGACATCTACGCACAACGGGACAGTGATTGCTCGTGGACAGAAGCAGATGACCAAGACGAGTGGTTCGAACTGCTTCGACAAGAGCTACAAGACTTTCGACAAAGCCGGCAGGCTACACTTTTCACTTTGCCATTGAGCTCTCGACAGCGCAAGCAGGTGCATTCTATGGCGAATCTGTGGGCTCTCAGCCATATGAGCATCGGGAGTGGAAGCACCAAAAGAGTCCTCGTCTCAAAATGCGCATTGGCAGCAAATGTCGTCGACGGCAACTCGCTCTCTCGTTCATGGAATCCTCGCGGCGGTGCGTGGTGGTCCGGCTCTATCCATCCAAGGCTGGTACTCATTCATTGGATCTCATCAAATGTGTGTGTGCAGACCTGTCTTTCGGTGCTTGGCTTGCCTGTGCCAGTCAACGTAACAATGGACGTGCGAGGCGACTATGCAACTGCATACGCACTTTTCAGCAGTTCTGCTGACGCAGCAAACGTTATTCTAGGTCTGGACAGGAATCGACCGTCCTGGAACATCACGTCGGTAGACCGTGAATTAGAGTGCAGCTTTCTCAGACTCCCAATTAATTTCGCGTTGACACCGGATCTACTTCTTGACCATTTCTACCAGCTACCGGTCCTTCTATACCAGGCCTTCAACATATCCTCCGGTTTGAACCCCAATCAACCATCGTCCAGGCCACCATCACGAGCAGCTGGGGCTACCAATGCGTACACACCAGCGCTCAAGAACAAGCCATCAACTCACAGTCTGTCTGCTATTGATGAACTTCAGGCCCTCACGGACTTAGCAGACCAATTACAGCAGTTTCCGTCACTCTCTCACTCTGGAACATCGTCCTATGATGCCTCCAAGAGAAACTCTCAAATATCCTCGCAATCGAGGGACCTCGGCTACACCTCTGCTAGCAGCCAAGTCGACTCTGACTATGACCACGCTACCAGCTTGTCCAAAAAGAGAAAGCGCGAACCGATGATACCACGGGGCTACAAGTGCACAATCGATGGCTGTGACAAAGCCTTTGACCATGACGGAGAGCGACGGAAGCACGAGAAGAATCACGGCGGGGAGAGACCATACGTATGCAGGCGCTGTGGCAAAGGCTTCCTCTATCCGAAAGATCTTCGGCGGCACGCGCGCACGCATCCAGGCTCAGCTCAAGCCTCACCGACACTCGAGCGAGTCTCTGATGCTAGCGATGTAGATGAACTTGACATTGGGGCACCGGCATCGGCAATTCCTCCTAGCAACGAGCATCCACTTGGTTCCATTCTACCAATGCACGTGATACCGTCCATGGATGCGAACCATACGGTACAGCCACGACACGGCTTCGGCAGGTTCTCGAGCAAGATTGCGGATATGTTCGGAAATGGAAGGAAGAGCATAAGATCTGGTGTGCCATAGAGACCTTACCAGGTTTTGAATCCTATCGACTGCTATGTACATAATGAGCAAGCAACACCAACACTGTCCTCAAACATTGCGCCGTCGTGTCGGTCCCGTAACCCGATAATTGTCGCGTGGAAAGAAGAACGCTCCCAGGAATTCGAATCCACTCTTCAAGAAGTATCCCCAAGTTGCCTCAGGAATCTCGTCATTTTCTGCTTCGTCGGGCGATTTCGTGATGCAAACGCATCGTGTTGCACACCGACTGTCTTTTGGTGGCCGTGGCGAGTATGCTGGATGGGAGCTTGTTTGTGACAGTGTTGGTTGTGAAGTGTTCATGACATTTGAATGCTTCGTTGAAGCCACTTCCAATGCTGTGGGATCAGTGGTCAGAGCGAGCCAAAGCATATACTTCTTAGAAATTGCCACATTCCAACGTGAAGTGCCCGAGACGTGGGTGTGGCAATGTAGATGCAAAAGCTATATCATGAACGCTGTAAGGAAACCACTCGCTCACCATCGTCATAGTGGCATTCTCCTGCGAACAATCCAAGCTCCAGCAAAAATACAAACAAGTACGAGAACCAGAGTCATGCATCCTTCCCGTTCCATCCTCGAGTGAGCTCCCGAGCATGTACCCCATTTCTTGTTGGCACCAGCCTGACGCATCATACTCTGCACACATTGGTGTACAAGCTGCTCCCGGCGTCCCGGGAACAAGCGTCAACGGGTCTGGAAATACACCCGGGGGAGTCGTATAGGTAGGTCCCTGGCGGAACTCGTATGACTTCTGTTTCGAACTCTGGGTCCCACGTCGTGCTCGTGGTCGCGACAGTGACAGTGGACATGTTGCTTACGGAAATCTTTCGAATCCATTATGGAAGGGTTTAAAATAAAAAAAAACCCCTCAAACCCAAGAAATTTTCCATTTCCGCGCCGCCAGGGCTTTCTTATACTTCTTTTTTCTTATTTTCTGAATTTTTCTCAATAATGTAGTCGTGAATGAATGAATGAATGAATAGCGTGTGTCATCAATACAACAACCACGCCACCCATACGACCGTGACGACCGCTACAACACTATTAACGACCAGCTTCGCGGCAGAAGAAGAGATGGGCACACAGCCGTGAGGAGCTGGGAGACAGGATTCTTCTTCTTCTTCTTCTTCATATTTTCCGACTGCAGCGTTTTCGTTTTCGTTTTCGTTGTCTTGTTTTCCCTCTTCGGTTTTGATGGGAGTTTGTGAAGTACCAACCCGAGGGGGAAGAGTACAGCCGTCGACGGTCTGGATGCATGTTCCGTCAGGTGCGAAGAAGATGCAGACTGGGCCGCATCGGTTTTGGGTGGATGCGTTGGTTGTTGAAGGTGGGGGGTCGAGAGATGGAGTGGTGCTAAGAAGCGTGGATAGGGAGGGTGTAGCAGCGTCAGATGAGATGGCGCTGGTAGCCATTAGAGCAAGAGTGGCGAGTTTCATTCTTGTCGACTCGAAAGGTTTTTCCCGTTGATGTGCGGTGTCTCTGCGTGTACGTGAGCTTTGGGATATGACTGAGCACACTACCCGCCAATTTGTAAACGAGCAAGGTGTTCGTGAATACGATTCGCATCGTAGTAAATAGCAATGAGATAGATCCTGAAGAAAAACAATCATGCAAACAATTGCCTAAAATTCTTCACTAGGTCAAGAGAAGCGTTAAAACCAGGATACAGACAAGAGCCCAAAGTTACCAAAGACCAAGAATCGCCAGCCAATGTATTAGTTATCCGTCCATGCGCCGCTCCAGTGTCAAAAATCCATCATCAGGTGCATCTCTACCACATTCGTAGTATTACTCGCGACGCGTCAGACATCCCACAGCCAGTCGTAGTCATTGTCCGAAGTAAAAGCCATGCCGTCGTCGAGATAGCCCAAAAATTCCGGTTCGTCATCAGGTTGTTGAAGAGGTTCTGCGCGCTTCGGCGTGCAGGGAAAGAAGTCATCCCACTCTGGAGCAGTAGCGCAAGGTCGGCGAGAGACCTCCAGCTCCTCCTCATGTTCGGCATCAGCAACTGCTTGCCGCTCGGTTGCGACACAGAATTCGCTTTCGTCGTCATTGCTCGACCACATCGTCCAGTCCTCCTCGTCTGAAATATTCCCATCCTCGACAAGCTCTGGGGCCTCTTTGCAGTCTAGACACCAGCACTTCTCTGCATGACCCATCGCCAAGAAGGTAGCGAGGTCGATTGGGCTTTCCGGTCGAGTTTCTGGCAGCGGTGTTTCGGTAGCCTCAAACAGCTGTTGCTCGCTGTCGTAGTGGTCGGCAGAAGTGTCGAGTTCTTCGCTGAAGATGGGTGGCCTGACACTCCGCAGCGGTATTGGCTCCGGTGAGGCCGACAATGGCGGTGTCGAGGGCATGGCAGACAGTTCGTAGATCGGAGGCGCTGGGGTTGAGTTCTGCTCAATACAGATTCCTGAATCGTGCACATCATAGTGTTCAGAAGCGAACGCCGCGCCACGCTCGTTAGAATGTCCCACCAAGCAGTTGAGATGGACGTATGGCGTCGCTGGCGCTTCCAATTCTGCAGGCACTCTTGCCTCGTCAAGCATGTTTGGTAGGGCAACGCCGCCACCCGGTGATGAATCGTCTTCCCAGACTGAGTCCCCCGAGGACGAGCGGGAATGGTCTTTCTGCATTTCCACGTCTGCAAGAATAGACCATAGGTTCGATGCGGACGGTAACTTCACATGTGTCTTCATGCTATCGCCAATAATCTTGATCCCTTCCTCTGCCCTCTGCACCAGCTCAGGCTCGGCGCGGCTGAATGTCCACGCAGGCGTTATCGGATCTTGCATCGCTTGCTCGCATGGATGCAACTTGCAGGCGGTCCGAGGCAGCTTAACTGTAGGTCTCGGTATACTCGAAGGCGGGAAGAATCTAGATTGCTTCTTTGGCTTAACGGTACGTATGAGCTGCATGTCCCCAGCAGGCGGATCTCTTCGCTCAGGAAGGCTGGAGAGGTCGAAGAACCTAGGGACATCACCCTGCCAGCCACCGTTTCGCATTAGGGATGGGATTGATGGGCACCAACTTGGCACGCTGACAGGTACAGTGGGCGTCGGACTCAGTGGGGACTGTTTTGGGGAGGAGAGATGAGGCAGATGAGACATGTCGAAATTCCTAAAGTGCAGCAGTGGAAGCTGAGGCGGCGTTGGCGGAAGCCAGCGGGCCAATGTGGCAGACGAGGGCGGTGTCAGCATGGCAGCCAGAGGTGAGCTTTGGGCCGGAGATGGGAGAGGCATGTGTGAAGGAGGGTGGATGTTCGCTCTGGTCAGGGTCTCATCGATGTCTCGCGAGAGCTGCTCATTAAGCAGTTGGGCCGCCAATTTCCTTCTATTGCGTCTGGCATCACGGCGTTTCTTTGCTTCTTTGGTGCCTCGAGTGTTTCGAGAGCGACGTCGAGCTCCATGTGCTACAAACTCGCGGTCACGGTGGAAAGCAGCAGCAGCAGCAGGAGGTGGCAGCAGTGCAGAGAAGCGATTTTCTGGAGCTGGTCAGCAGGCACGTCTGGTCGGCGTCCAGCAGCGGCTTACGAAATGGATCTGCTGGATGGTGCAGGCTCCAATCGAGGCCACCGTGGGAGTCATCAAATCCCGAGAAAGGACACTCGTACTGCGGAAGATGCTGCGCTTGATGTCGTCGTCTCAGGTTCTGCGGCTGGGCGGGAGAGGCGAGGCTGCGAAACATGTTCTTCGGGGGCTGGTCTTGGTATGGGTCTGTTGGGTGCGTTGCTAGGGATGGCAAAGGCAAGCGGTGCGAATGGTAGAGCGGCGTAAGAGCAGGTGATGCGGTGCGTTGGCGGTGGTGTTCTCATGCAGGAGAGGAGACGTCTTGTTGGAATGAGGAGAAAAGAACGACGGACGCTCGCTCGCTCGGACCTGACCCCATCGAGGTGACCTCCTCTCTCGTGGACAGAAAGAGCATTGGGAGGAGCAGCGCCGTCCCACCTCAGGCACGTTGACATCGGGACTGCACGTGGTGAAAATTGCAAATGCTGTTGCGGCGGGACGTGCGGCCCCGCGTCGACGAAATATTTCTCTGCTGAGCCTGAGAGCGAGGCACGGAGTAGAATACCTACGGCATCGTGCAGATGAGGTAATGCGCAAGCTCGGCCCGCATGAAAGGTATTCTACGGCATCACACTCCGCTCATCACTCGTTCGCGCACCGCTGTGTGCATTGCTCGACCGCCCCATCGCCGTGCGCTCCAGGAGTCCATATCGTCAACACACCAACCGCCACTCCTGGGGCAGCAACTCATCGGCTCATCTCATCCTCGTCCGCACCCGCCCATCCCCATCCCCATCCCCATCCCCATCCCCATATCCAGCCCACGCCCGCCCAGCACCATGAAAAAGGCAGGCCAGCAGAACCGGGTAGCCATCCCTCTGCCATTCGCGAGGAAGAACAACTCTACCAGGCCAACGCCGACCCGCTCGGCCTCTCCTGCTATTACCCCGATCAATTCCAGTGGTGCTTCAGCCAAGGCGCAGAGCGACGATGGTGCTGAGCCGGCAGTTGCAGAAGTAGCAGGCACAGCTCCAGCGCCCACCAGGCTCCTCACAGCCGAAGAGCCTCATCATCGGCATTCTGTTCAAACTCCTGTCTCGTCTGACACCAGCTCGCTTCCTCTCACCAACCGCGCAACACCCAATGCCCTGCTGAATGGTGTGTCCAGTCAGTCTGCCGCCACGACAAACGCCATGCCCGACAATTTCAGTCCTCCGCCCAGCGCCGGCCCAGACTCCACCCGCACGCCCTCCGACACATTCGACATGCGCCACATCAGGACTGAGCTTCCACCACCCTTCGTGCCTTCGGCTGGACAGCATACACCTCAATCCGCTTTATCCCCCCACTCACACCCCCGTCAGCAGCCGCCACGTCTTCCTCATGCACACCCGAACAACCTGAGCAGCAGCGGCATAGTCTTTGGTGGCATCGACTCTGTGAACTCTTCACCGGGGCCACCGCCAAATCTTTCATCGCCCTTCGCACCTCCACAGTATCCGCCTCCGACTCCGTATAGTCACGCGCATCACGCCTCGGAGCCACATCCTCCACGCATGTCCCAGTCTGGCTTCTATCAGCAACCACCGTCGTGGGGCATGAGGCAAGCTTTCGCTCCAGCACAATCCGCCTACCATCCACACGCACATATGCCTGCACGGCCTGCGCCTAGAGAGGGCCAGAGACAAGGCAGCGGAAGTCGACCTAATGGAAGTGGCACTCGCTCTCGCTCTGACTCGCAGTCTTCTGCATTAGCGCAGACCGCGCACAGAGAGCTTCAGTCGCCCGTCGGTCTTGACCAACCCATCGATAGCTCCAGGGCCATGTTTCACGACCCAAGACCTACCTTTCCACCGCCTCCGCGACAATTCCCTCCACACACTCCGCATGGATCACAGCATTTCCCGCACCCAGACGTTGCCACCACTTTCGACAACGCCGAAGCTATGCGTAGCCACGTCTTTTCCAACTTCGAAAATGCCGAATTCGCCGACTGTCACCTTCACATCACGGAGGAGAATGGCCCCGACGGGCAAGGCATCGATGGGCACACGATAGTCTTGGCGCGTAGTCCAAGACTCCTAGACATTATTCGCAAGAGCGCGTCGCTGGAAAATGGCTTGGAAAAGACACAGCTTCGCATCGTGCTGCCGGGTCGTCACACTCGTGTCAGCGCGTTCATTGAAGCGCTTCGCTACCTCTACGGCGGCCCTCTCCCACCTTTCGAGCACTACGCTCTGGGACCTCAGGCCTCAGCCGAAGACAGGCTGCAACAAGCCTTGCAATATATCGCGACGGGCGCATGGCTAAAACTCACACCCTTTGCCCATCGAGGCGTCGAGATCGCGTCGAATCTACTGCAATGGACCACTGTCACGACGGTGCTCGAATTTGTTTTGTTGGGAGGTTTGAGCCAAACATGGACTGTCGACGACGGAAGCGAGGAGCGAACAAGCACTTGTTCCAGCGACGATTCGCTGACGAAGCCGGAGGCCGGTGGACAGCCTGCTTATGACCCATATGCTACAGCTCTCCTCACAAGGGTACTCGACTTCATGGCACACAATTTCCCGCCTAACTTCTACCTTGACTCAGCAGCTCCGCAGTCTACTGCTTGCCCGCGCCTGCCGGCACAAGCGGCGAAGCACGAGAGCAGACCTTCCCGCTCAGATCCACGCCTGAGCAAAATCCGCTTCGGAGAGCACCCGGTCGAGGATCACTCTCGACCTTCGACCGGTACAACCACCCTTTCCAGCATTCTGCTCTCTCTTCCATTTCCACTTCTTAAGTATCTGCTGGAGCATCCTGTGCTTCCAGGGCGTCTTGGAGCAGAGACAGTGGCTAGCATCATGCGTCAGGTGGTTCATGAGCGTGAGATTCGTCGGCAAAGAACACTGAAGGGTCGGGCTGCCAACCAGAACACGGAAGATAGTGAGCCTCACCTGGTGCAAAATCTTTACTGGGAAGAGTCTGTTGAGTTTTCGAGCCTGCCACTGCACCAAGCTGGCTTCCGCCTCGCACGGAGACGTCGAGGCATTGCCACGCCTCCCACGCATTCTGGCGTTGAAAACGAGCAGACCAAATGATTGCGGCAATTCTGGTTTTGTTCTCACATGTCGTTGAGAAGATGAACCTCATCACAGATTAGCGACTTCTACTTTTCATGATTTTTGCATAGCAAGCGAGCGGCGTTGATTCGGCAGGACGGCTGTCGATATGGGAAAATTTTCGAGAGAACCTTTTTACGGCGCTTTGGCCGCTTGGGACGAGGGATGTGTATGAGGGATCACAAAATATGATGAGTTGTCGTGGCGCAAAAGTGTGAAGGAAATGGTCAGCAAATTGGATGGGAAAGCAGTTAAAATGGTTTGCGATATCTGGTTCTTGGCGTGATCATGAGGTGAAGCTACAGTGAAGATGTCGCATGTGCGAGAGAACTCTTGCATAATCATTCTGCAATGCTTTGAATCTCTTGCGAGTATCTTCGACTTGCTCCTTCGTACCGTGAAAGTGTCTGAGGAGATGAACCAATTCTGGGTCCGTTGCCAGTATACATTGTGCTGCCGGGACTGACAGGACCTCGATTAGAGCGGCGTTCGAATTCATCCCCCGAGAAGGACGACAACTCCTCATCCTCCACACATATTTTCCTTTGCTAGGTTTATTTACAAACGTTTGTGCAACCACCACTTGGGTCGCCACCACTTGCGTTCGACCTTGGGCAAGTCCAGCCTCCAGCCCCGTTATGATGACAGTGCCCTGAGTATGTTTGTTGCTGGAAAGAGTTCAATCAGTACGGGGGCTCGAGGAGCAAGGTTCAAAGAGACGAGGAGGTCCTTACCCCGTCGCTACCGAAACAGCAGTCGCAAACATTCGAACATGCTCCAATTGCGGCGAGTGTAGTGCCCGTGAGGCAGAGAAGTGTGGCAATAATTCTGAATAGCATTGTTGCTGGACGTAGTTGTTGTAGGTGTTTGATAGTTGTAGGTGGAGGCGTTTGAGGTAGTACTGGACTGAGTGGAGTGATATGGGGAACAAGAAACGCTGGAGAAGACGAGAGGGGAGACAGGAGATATATATACCTTCGCTGCACCCTCTTTCAAGAACGGAGGGAACATGTGGTTCCCAATAGACTGACCCGAGTGGCGGATTGTTGTGAGTTGGTACAAGCATTCGACAGGCCGGTAACCAATTTAACGGCACTGCTCAATTCTGGTAGTTCAGGCACAAGGCAGGCTCGAAAAGCGTTCCCTAAAACCTTGTAAGCGGGTTTATATGAAGTCATACCCAGTGAAACGCAGAATTCCAACGTGCAAGGGAGCCTCGGTCGACAGCGGGTTGCCTGCTGTTGTATCGGAAGATTCTGGCTGCGCCTACCTATCCTTGAACGCAAGTCGTGCGGCCAACACATGACCCATAACAATACCTTATATATAGTTAACGGACCGGTCTTCTGCTGCGGTGCATGTGCCTGTGGAACCTCCCTGGAACCGGCCAAACAAGCGGCATTTGTAAGCTTCAAACCTGTACGGATAACCTTCAAGCTCCAGGATGCTATACGAATCTCCTGCCCCAAAGAGGCCATATCAAATTTGAGTTGAGGGGGCTGCGATATAACAATTGTACTTGCCATAGGCTGGCACATTTGCCTCCACGGACCACATGTGTCTAAGTACAGGACGATTAAGCGAGATAGCGGACGGGGGTAATCCCTGTAAACGGCAGCTAGCTTAAAAACGTTAGACGTAAACTTTTTAAAGGTGTAGATAATTCCTTTAGGCAGTGCGCTAGCTTTAACTAGTTAGATTCCGTTTTTAGGGATTACCGCCGTCCGCTATATTGCTTAATCGTCCTATAGTAACGAGCTTATAGGTTATCCGACTACGTCTAAAGTCTGTGTTTCTAAGCGGGCTAAACAAGCTTTTAGTAGCCTACTAATAAATAATAAGGGTCTATATAGCGGTTAGGATAGCCCTCTATTCGACCTAAGAGTAGAGATATAAAAACCTTAGTAAACTAGTAAATAGCAATTAATATAGCGATAGTAAAATTACTATAGTAATTACTATTACTATTACTATTACTATTACTATTACTATTACTGTTGCTATTACTATTACTATTACTATTACTATTACTATTACTATTACTATTACTATTACTATTACTGTTGCTGTTACTGTTGCTATATTAGGGCTAGGGAGGTTGTGCGTAATTAGTATATAGCTAGGCTAGGTGAAGCTAGGGTCTTAGTGCCTTAGGCAGGGCTTAGCGTTAGGCTAACTAGCCTACCTTCCTCCTTCTCCTCCTAGATCTCTATCGAATACTACTTATACCTACTACTACCCTATCTACCTGCTAATACAACCCTTCTTATATAGTATTCGATCTGCCCTTTAAGGGTAGTTGCTAGATAGTCCTTATTTTAAGCTTTTGGCGGTGTGGCTACGAAAACTATTAATTTGCCTATATTACGCCCGAAGAACGGGACCTGTACGTACTATTCTATTAAAACAACCGTACTAATTATTAAGCAAGGCCTTCTATACGGCCTATTATACTAAGTTAATCGCACTAAGCCGATACCTACTAATTCCGCTATATCCGTACTATAGGGGCCTATAATATATTATTAGTACTACCCCTTATTACAATAGCCGGCCTATTACGAAGTAACAATAATAACCGTAGCGCCGCTAGTAGCGCTAGCAATAACAACGCTAGTAGTATAGTTCCCGCTAAAGTGCCTACTAAAGTACCTACGGAAGAGCCTATTAGAGAGCCTACTAAAGAACCTATAATTAAAGGGGATAACCTATCGTTGCCCGTTAACGACATTCTTAGTAATATTATTAACCGTCGATATAGCTAACTAGCCTTTAGCCCCTAGCTAGTAGCGAGACTTTAAGAAGCTACCTAAAATAGGCTCGCTGCTTTACGTTAAGAACAATAGCTAAAGGACAACCTCCTCGAAATTTACCGCCTATAGGAAGCCCTAGCAACTAATACTAAGCTAATAGCAGGGCCTTCCTTACTAACTATTTAAAAGAAGGATACTAAACTTAAGGATTATACCGTGTTTAATAGCTCTAGTCGAAAGTAATATAACGACTATATTATTATTCGCAACTATAAGCTTAACTAGCGCAATATACCGAGAGCGCTACTAGATAACTATTCCTTAGTCGTCTATACTATATAGTATATTAATAGAGACCTAAAGCGTACCTAGGATAACTATTTCGACTCCCTTAATAATTAGACCGCTGTTTAGTAGTAAACCTATAAAACTATTATACTAGATACCCTTAGAAACCCTATACTAAGGCAACAACACGCTTAGGACTAGTACCTTCGAGCTAAACAAAAGACTAATTAATCGGCTCGCTTATTTAAGGCCTATTTAAAGACCCTCGAAGATAACCTTCCGGCTAAGACTAATTCTATCTAGATCTCCGAAATACGCCCTAAATTGAGATAGGAATTAGTCCTTAAATTAGACCGCCGCCGTGTGTTTAAATAGGCTAATCTAATACGTATTTAATTTATAGTCGAAGTAGAAATAGCTAAACGAGCTATTTAGCTCTAATAACAGTTAGAATCTAAGATACGCCTAGCTACCTATCGTAGCCGCGGAGGAAACTAAGGTTCCTACTAGAACAATAATGCTAATAATAGGAATAGTAATAACGACTATAGAAGAGGCCGTAGCCGGCGGCTATATAGAGGAGGCCGCGATAGGGGCCGTAGAAGGGGCTCGTATTCCTATAATACTAACCGCTCGACTAACAATAGTAGTAATAACGGTTATAGTAACCCCCTAACCGGATTAAAGTGCTTTAACTGCGATAGTACTAGCTATCTACTAGGCTAATACGACAAACCTAAGGATTAGGCCCGAATCGCCCGTACTACCGCTAAGTACTAAAAGCACCTTTTAGCCGCTAATGCTACCCCTATCGGTCCTTCCTATTAGTCGAAAAAAGAATAAGCGCCGCACTAACTATTAGCCTTATATAGCGTAAGACTATCGATATTATACTAGCTATTATACGTACCTGTCTTATATAGGATACGTATAGCACTAACTATAAGACTAAGGTTATACTAGACCTAGGCAATTCAGTTAGCGCCCTTATTAGCTATCGCCGAGCTAAGTAATTAGACATTCGACAATTAAATAGGGCTAACCTACTAACCCTTGCTTAGTTTAATAACGCTCGGCACTTAACCTATAGGGCTTACTATATTCCTATAGTTCTAAGAGACGACCTCGGCAACGAGCGCTTACTAGATTTTACTACCTACGTAGTAGATATAGACAACCTATATAGGGGAGCTACTATTGTTATTAGTAACCCTATTCTTAAGCACTACGCCGTATATTACGGTTTAGATAGTAGTGCGGCCGATCCTGCTTCGGATACTATCGATCCTGCCGTAGATTATAACGATTAATATATATAGTTTCCTAGGCTAGTAACTAACTAACAATTAATTATCTTTATATACTAGAATCGTGTCCGTCTCCGCTCTATAGAGCGTATCCTAATAACTTAGTAGCTTCGCTAAGATTACGACCTAATTAGCTTCTATACTAATTAACTCCTCTACTAGAAACGAGCTATTAGTCCTAATTACGACGAGAACCGAGACGATTAGCTAAGAATCCTCCCGATCTAGCGCCGACCGCGAGGATTCGACTCGCTACGTTACGACCGATATTTACTCGATTTATACTATTCTATACTAGTCGGCGGCTACCTACTATAGTGCCTCGCCGATACTAATATACTATATACCCCGAATCGCCTAACCGCGAATTCGGTAGGTAGCCGCGCTCTAACGGCCGGTAGCTATTTCCCTATATTCCTAGGAAGGTACCTTTCGAGGAATAACGGAAGGATTAGCCCTAACTAGTTAATAAACTACCTTTTGCTACTAATCCGGCTAGCCTCTATAACGATACTCTACTATATAACGCTTTACGTTAATCCTACGCTTCGTTTCGCTTCTAATCCGGATAGAAGTATAAATCTATTAAACTAGCGGTCCGACCGCTACTATAGTACCGTAATCTTAGATT